CCTTAATCCAGCGCCTTAAGCCTGTTTTATGATTCTGCGTCGAACCGCAGACCCCGCTGCGTCGACGCGAACCCCTCTCTGACCCCTCCGCCGTAGCTCGACGTGCACCCTAAGGGGGTAATCCATCGACCGGAAGTTGAAGCCTCGCGGGAGCTGCCATCTTGTAGCAGAAATTCACTTGCGTTAGCATTCCCATTGACTCCCATTCATTTTGGCGTCAATTTGACAGCAAATAACTTTACATCTGAGCCGTTTGAAGACCCCATTTGTCCTTTATTTATTTCTAAAGAAACACGACAATGTATAAATAGCTCCATTACCTTGTAGCTTATGTTCTGGTCCCGTAGAAGCAGTCTTAGTGAAAGTAGGCTAACGATTGCATCATACCCACGCGACTCTCTGTCGCACTGATTACCGTATGGACAGGAGAAGAAGCTCGCACGCAATCGGGGAAACGTGGAGGCAAAATGACAAAATAATTAATCAGAATACCTAGCAGAATTGTCTCCTCCTAGCTCCTGGACAGCTCCTACTCACACTCTCCGCCTCTGCATGTTTCGGAAGGGAATGATTCAGATTTCTCATGCCACAGCACTAGAAGACAGATGGGTGGCTCTCGTTACATCTACGTAGTCAAGCTCTGTTTGAGTCTGCGCGTCAGGGATGGAAGTGCTAAAAATCGCCAAAAACGGGCTTCAATCGTCTAAATGGAGTTCCAATGAGATCGCTCTGTCCATTTCTTTTACTGTCTATGCGTGCACCTCCAAAAATGTGTAACTGCGCGTCGAGGCGATGCAGACAATCACAGCAAGGGCTGTGATTATACATCATTTCAGGAGTGTAGCTTTTCCGGTTTCCCCCTCCCGCTATAGCGCCATGTTTAACATTTGCACCCTCGTACTGATAATTATAATACACTTATAAAGAAAGTAAATAAAGAATTAAACTAAAAATAAATTGTTATTTTTTTTACTTCATTGTTAATAAATAAATATATATATATATATATATATATATATATATATATATATTCATTTCTTTTTTTTTTTTTTGCTCGCAATAAACTTCAATCAATGAAACAGCGTTTGTTGTTTATTTTCAATACAATGTTCACGGTTACATCATGGATAATACCTAACCAAGTCTGCTACGGGACACTACATTATCCTGTCATGGCACAGTTCCATGTGGAGACTGAAAAAAAGCCTTCAAATCATTCCGAACAGCTATGGCAGGAACGGGCCCTGGACATCCGTGTTGGTTCATTATTTCTTTCTCTTCTTCCCCTTCTCTTTTTCTTTCCTTCTTCCCTTCTTCCCCACCTTTGTTGAATTGTTGTTTCCCAGCTTGTTCAGCAGCTCTGACTCAGAAGGCCATTTTTTGTGTTCTTTTTGAATACATTTTCGGAGCCTGATGAAATCGGTATAAATACGTGTTCTGCAAAATACACTCGATGTTACAGTCACTGCCCTTGCCACCCAGAATAAAAGAGAATTTCCCAATCGAGAGAAGGGATTTGTGGAAACTGTGGTTCTAATTATTGTGATCAAACACATGAGGTGAGGGATAATCCACTTCTTGCCTCCGAGACTGTATTATGATATGAACATGGACTTGGATCCGGTCCATATCCGGTCCACATCCGGGCTGTGTGGATTTCAGGTGTACCAGATGTGGGGCGGATCTGGGCCGATACTATGTTGCTGTCTGGGCAGACTGATCTCATGAAGTAGCGTGTGTATGACACGCCAATTCGTATTTCCATTTTTGGCGTGCAATCAAGACGCATAATCGCTTTTCAGCGTGTTCATGAACGCCGTGGACTTAACGTTATTACTGTACTGTATATATAAATATATGACTTACCTCAACCCCGTCCCTAAACCTAACCGTCACTGGGGTTAATGGCATTTATGACTGTTCTCTTACCATCCGAGGAAAAAAAAAAAGATACGACTTACCTCAACCCCGTCCCTAAACCTAACTGTCACTGGGGTAAATGGCATTTATGACTGTTCCCTCACCATCCAAGATCGATGTAGATCGCCCAGATGTAGATCTACATTTTGCTTTGTTTCGCGCGGACATTTGACGGCGTGTACAGACACGCGGAATCACTCGGACGTTAATGGCGTAGACATACACGCATACACGCGGATAGCTCAAAATGCGTAGAGATAACACGCCACTTGACTCGAAAGTGGAGCGTATGTTTACGCAAAAGTCATGATGTCATGTTGGTCTGGGACTCTGTGTTGATATGATATATTTTTACTATAAAAATCTTATGACTAACATTCTAATATCTTTAATTGTTGCTACTTGGACCCATTGTGTGAGCTTTCTTTAAAGGGTCACTAAACCCTAAAGCAATTTTTTTTTAGTTAATGATCTGTAAGAATGGGGCTTCTTCGTGACGTATGCTGGTTTCGGCTCACCACGCCCTTGGTACGAGCTACAGCTACCACACCCTCAGCAGTTTAAAAATCATCTTGTTTCGTCAAAACCACTGTGAGTCAAGAGTTGCAATTACGAGATTTGAAAACGATCAGAATAGAGTATTGTATATAGAGCTGGTAAGTCCCGCACATCCGTAAAACTTCAAGTGGACCTCTAGGTTGAAAAAGCGTCAATGCAAGTGAATGAGAGAAAATAATTATTTTCTGATCCTGTTTGAATTGTGCCATGAATGTGACAACTGAATTTTTTATATAATTCCTCATGTAACGAGTTTGACAGTATATTGTATGATTCTTTGGCTAGCAGTTGTGGAATAGACATAACGAGAAAGACTACACGTCACATATGTGACGTCGCCGCATAACACATTTTCCCTCTACAAATCACAGTTTTCACCACGCTCAACTAGTTTGTCCTCGCCTTGAAAGAAGGTGGTGAAGTGCACCAAAGACACAGGCATGTTTAGCGGGATCCGTGTGCTAGTGGGGGTGATGTATATCAAACACGTCGAAAGTTGTAGTCCACAAAGTGCTCTCACACAAAGTCTAACCGTATGATAATTCTACCCGCTAAATTGCAGCATTCTTTACACGAAACATTATATAAAAAATTCACAGACAACATATGTTACAATCATTGCACAATTCAAACGGGATTAGAAAATAATTATTTTCTCTCATTCACTTGCATTGACGGTTTTTCAACCTAGATGTCCAGTGGGGTTCGCGGAAGGGGCGGGACTACCAGCTTTATAACCAATCGGTTCAATGATACCAGATGAAGTAGGCCTATGCTATGTAGAGCAACAGAAAATTAGACGAGGAAGAAGACGATGGGTCAGAGATTTAGGAGATTAATGTATACACAAACGGTTTATCAAAAGGTAACTTCGCGCCCGCTGACACGATGGATCCATAGATATAAACAAACTGCTTTGGTGTCGCATAGCATACATCGTCATCGTCTTGCTGATCCCTGATCCCTCCCCGTTCTGTGATTGGTTCGCTATCTCAGGCGAAGATTTGGTTCATAGCAGCGTGAATTAAATCGCGCTGCCGCAAGGCAACATGGGAACCCCAGACTAGTTTAAAGGGTAACTAAACCCCTGGTCAGAGCCTGACTCCACCCACTGGCAATATTTGAAAAATGCTGGAAAAGTGGGCAGAGCCCAGCAGAGGGGGGCGTGCACCTGAGACGCATCTCTTTGTATGAAACTTGCCTACGTCACCAACAACCGCTGTGTCACGTACCACCGCAAACATCCAATAGGAAAATTCAACTGCAGTAGCCACCGTTCAACCTGAAGAGGGCAGCACTAAGACGTTTTTACACCATATATTGTAGAAAAAGAACACTTTATAAACAAATGCCAAAAGAGTTACTCGAATCAATGACTGGTATTAATAAAGATCCAGATCATTAACTAAAAAAAGTTGGTTAAGTGTTTAGTTACTCTTTAATAGTGAAAAAAAAACAGAAAATGCGACTTGGCAGCGGTGGGATTCGAACCCACGCCATCGAAATGACTGGAGCCTAAATCCAGCGCCTTAGACCACTCGGCCACGCTACCACGAGACAGTAGTATGAACGGATTGGGTATATTACCATTATAATGAAATGCGTGTACAATACTGTTCGCATATATAGAATGCTCATAATAGACGAATTCAGTTCGATACAGATGTTAAGTCCATTGTACACTCAGTCCGAAATTTTCTTATGCGTTTGTACGTGATTCGGTGGCTCTGAATTGTCAAAACACCATTCAAACTGATGGGAAAAACGCAGAAATTCGAAGCCGATTCGATTTTTTTTTTATGACGGAAGAAAGTTTCAGAGGCAGTGTGCAAAGCATGATTGCTGTGAGGTCGTATTAATTTTTAACGTGCGGACGTTATTTAATTTCGGACTCATGTGCCAGAGCCATAGTCGGGGAGCATGCACTCGCTTTTAACTAGCTAATGCAAGGCCAATCGTTGATTGTGTTTACTTGTGAAACTACAGTGTTACGTTTCATGAAATTAAAAGTATTGGAACAACAGTTAGTGTCACATTTGACGATGCTGACATTGGCAATACAATGAAAACCAAGAGGACGAAAATAGCCTCTCGGTTAGCACACTACTTGAGTTGGATGCGCAGATCTGTTCTTTTTCACAGAGTGGCTACGTGCAGCCAGTCCTCACCCGTGTGGAGGCTCGCCCTGCCCCCGCGAGTTCGACTCTCTAGTCTCTACTATGGCGAGGAGGGCTCTCATTAATATTAATTACGCAACGCGACGTCATTCGAGTTACGCCAACTTGATTTGATTTTGGAACGTTGCCGCTTGAAGGCTCGGCTTATAAATATTAATTTTCTTCCGTGTACAGGAAAGGTTAACATGAATAAATTAATATTATTCATGAGATATGCCTTTGTCTTAGTAGAATTCGTAATATACAACCCTGCTATCGATTAACATCTGAGCTCCCCCATAAAAGGCTATGTGATCATGGCTCTCTCTGAATAACATTTTGACGATATATATATATATTTTTTTTTACGTATTTGTTTATTTTTTTAAATACATTTTAGGTACCTAATAATTCTCAGAATGAGCTATCTTTTCGTTAAAGTCCACTAGAGGGCCAAGTGCAGCTTTGTCGTTGTCCTGATGAGGGTTGGAATCAACAACACAAGGGAACATTTCTTCACTGGCCAAGACACGTAGTACACATTTCTGCAGAGGCACAGTAAACCTGTCACTGTCCAGAGTGCTTGAGACACAACCGCAGCTGACACTTCCGTGCTAACGCGCGATTCGAGTTGGCTTCCTTGTCCGAAAGGGTGTGAAGAGGATTCGCGATAATAGAGCATATGACCCGTTTTTGTTATGTCTTCAATCTAGCGATTTTATTCATTCTAACGTAAGTATTCTGACGCGCACTATTGATTGTTATTGCTCTGTAGTGTGCACCTTCGAGCTGTTATTATGTTTAGTTTAGTTATATTGCATCAAAATAAATTATTATATAGCTTTAAATGACCTCCTATTTGACGGTTTTAAAACGCTTTTGTCATTACAAACTGAAGTTTTTAAGGAATGTGGCATACTAGTCTTATCTTAGACTTACATTAACGAATACCTTTACATTTTATCAACCTGTTCTTGATCATTTGTTTCATCGCTACTTTTCAAATGTGTTTGCATGTTTGTTGACAATGCATCTAATAATGTAACATTTGATTCTTACGTGCTTGTTTGTAGTTTTGGTGCACAACACAGTGGGACATCATGGCTGATGAGGAGCTCATGTTCAGTATGGAGGAGGTGGATGAACCTAGGAATGGGTGTAGTAAGAATAGAGTGACTTTTAAAGATTCCAATGCTAGTGATGACGATGATGAAGATGACCTCCGCATATGCCCCATAACCGACGACCCCATAAGTCCAACCAAAGGCTTCTGTGACTACCCAAAGAACCTTGTTGGCAACCAGCAGCTTTCTAATTCATTGCCCAAAAACTCCTTTACATACAAGGTGAGAATTTCCCATTATATTTCAGTAAATATACATTTTAAATTTTGAATACAGTTAATGTAGAAACAAAACAGCACAACTTTATAAACCTGTTACTACATAGTAAAAATATTAAGGGACCAGGGCACAATCTTTTATCACAACGTTATTTTATTAATCGAATTCATTAAGTAGCATCATTCATGGATAAATATAGTCCTTGACCTACTATTTTTGGAACAGCATAGCTGCCATACGTGCAAAACGTGCAGTATACAGCAAGTACTGTATCTCACGGTTGTTTGACACCAAATTAGATCATAGATCAAATTAGAACATTTATAATATAATATAATATAATATATAAACCTGTTTTTTTTTCCGTAATTGCACATGTTAGTAAATAAAACAGTCATGTGACAACAATGTTGCATACTAAAAGGGCATCAATGTATAGAGTATAGAAAAATAATGTAGGAACTAGATTTTCTTTCAAAATATACTTACAAATACGCGACAGCTTCTGGAGTCGTTTTTGTGAGAAAATTTTACTTTCGCGTCTGAAAATGGGCTTTGCGGGCAGGAGAGCGGTCGAGTCAGACAACAGGGAAACAATGTATCGCAATGACCATTTCGCATGCTGAGGAAATTGTTCATACTGACTCGTATGACGGACCACATCCATACAGTTATGAACCTGCTATGCTGCCAAGAGAGACAGGCCAGGATTAATGTTACACAGAACAGGTTACACATTGAGTTGTGGTGTGAGGAGAACCAGTGGTGAACAGGACAGGTGTCTTGGTGAGAGATGTGCTTACAGATATATACATGTTCACTAACAATATACTCTGTGCTCACAATATTGTACAGATTATTACCATTGTGTATCAGGACAGCAGACATGAGTATGTTTAGAGTAGATTTATACTCATAAAAACTATACTTGAGTATATTTCTATTGTACTAAAAACATACTCAAGTACATTTTTAATATATATTTTTCACCTGGGTTATAATAAAATAAACAGAAAGTTGATGATTTGAATATTTAAACAACGTAAAATGACGCGATGTTGAAAAAAAAAGCCGATTTTCAGAGAAGTCCGAGAAACTCGCACTTTATCTACTAAATTAGTGCCCATTTTAAAACATTTTAAATCCATTAACTTTTCAGATGGTATTTTCATACAAGGTTATGTATTCATTTAGATTTTTTTTTTTTTTTAAATCTGCAATATGCTCTTTATGTTTGAAACATTCATTATTGCATAATGCATGCTGTTTCCCATACTATTTCAGCAGGTCCTGTGCAGTAATGCACACAGTAGTTAGCTGACATCATAGTGTTACTACATCGTGTATTTTAGGAGGACTCTAAGGCTGTATTGACCAATCATTACCCAGAACTTGAGCTATCCATTTCATTCTGGCATTTTGGTGGTCATCCAAGAACTTTCTTAGATTGTTAGTGTCCACTTAGACAATGACCTCTATGATGGTAAAAGAGATTGCCTGTACCACAGAGAACATGTGAACAGATGTTTTTTCTTACCCACAGAAAAAAAAAATGTTTCCAGAAGTAATTGTAAAGTAATGTACAGTGTGCAGAACTGTTTTCCTCCATCTCTGACACATTCACTTCCATATATGGAGCTTGAGCTCTCACGAGCGCACTTCCTAAATGTACTGTAAATCTTACTGTAAATATGTCAGGTTGCATTTATACTCCTGTTTTTTGTTTGTTTAAACAAGTGGGTTTGTCTATTCCTCTAATATAGAACAAAAATGACAAAGAGCATGATGTCGTGTTTGGATCTTTAACAGAGAAAGGCCGCCGGGTATGTTTAATACAAGTTTCAATTAGACCCTCCAATGTTTCTGTCTTTCCCTAACTTGATTAATCCATCTAGACTGGCATCTATCATAGAGTATGTGCTTTTCCTATATTTATCCTGTCGTCTTTTTTCCCTTTCACTCCTACATTTGCTTCTTACATCTGCCAACTCCCATATCTCAAAATCAATCAACAAATGATACATACATACATCCATAGTTCTATTTTCTTTTTTAACTATCTGTTGCATTAAGAAGTACGTCACAGTTAGAGAAAAAAAAAAGATCTGTTGCTAATTTTACAAGTATAAAATCTGATTATAATGTACAGCAAAGATGTTGCTTTTTAGTGCTCATTGAACCTAGCTATTTGAAATATATTTAATATAAATGATCAGCTTCTCCTTGCAAGGAAAAACACAAATACTTGCCTAATTTAAACATAGTTGTTTTCATTCTTGATTTCCTACAAATTCCTAATCCAATATAGTATGTAAGGTCAGGTATCAGTGGTAGTTTTGTACTGTTAAAGAGATGATGTCTACATGATGTCTTGTGACACATGGCTAACGTTTCTGTACTTAAGAGGTTCTGTGTAAAGAGGAGCCCACATTTTCCTTGTGTCTGACATATATTTGAACTCTGTTTCACGTTTATCTTTCTATAAATAATTGGTTGAATATACTTGGCCACAGGATCTAGTTTTAATGGTTATTTTGGCATATGGGCAGGTTTACTTCACTGATGGCACTTGTACTTGAGACTTTTACTACAGCATAGTATAGTATGCTAGCTCTCTTGCAGTTCTTATTCAGAATTTGCGAAGCACAAATTTGATAAAAATAACCAAGCCTGGTGTTTACTCCTGATTCTTTTTGGAATCATAACAGTGACTCTGTGACTCTGGGAATCAAGATATGTAACGATTCTGGTTCCAATTCTGAATCTTATAGAGTGCAAGATATCATTAAAGTTATTTGCTGATGGCATTTCTTTATTTTTATTAGGATCTTCTACATAAAGTCTACTGAAAACTTACCAGCTCTAAATCAAACTTTCTTTGTCCTTTTATTCCTGCATGTCCTTTATTCTTGCACCACTTTTCTTCCTGTTCTTTTCTCACATCCATCATGCATAGAGTGGATCACTACCATCTTCACTCTTCAACCCATATAGACAGATGTAGGAGTTTTTCAAACAACTTCAATTTCTCATACTCAGGCTACTTGGAAACATGCTATTGAGAAAGCCAAAGCCATGCCAGATCCTTGGGCTGAGTTCCATCTGGAGGAAATAGAGACAGAGCGCTGTACTCGATACAGGTGAGTGGTTCTGAGCCCCTTTGGAAGTTTAACCTACTCAAAGAGTTGACTCAACACATGAACAGAGTTGGGGAAGACAGTTAGAATCTGTAGACAGCCAAGCTATATTATAATACTCCCACCTACCAACAAACATTATCTACACTGCAGCGACTAAAAGTGTTAAAACATTCCAGACCCATAAGACTTTTGACGAATAAAGATACACTCACCTAAATGATTATTAGGAACACTTGTTTAATTTCTCATTAATGCAATTATCTAATCAACCAATCACATGGCAGTTGCTTCAATGCATTTAGGGGTGTGGTCCTGGTCAAGACAATCTCCTGAACTCCAAACTGAATGTCAGAATGGGAAAGAAAGGTGATTTAAGCAATTTTAAAATGTCTGAGTATTTCACAATCTGCTCAGTTACTGGGATTTTCACGCACAACCATTTCTAGGGTTTACAAAGAATGGTGTGAAAAGGGAAAAACATCCAGTATGCGGCAGTCCTGTGGGCGAAAATGCCTTGTTGATGCGAGAGGTCAGAGGAGAATGGGCCGACTGATTCAAGCTGATAGAAGAGCAAATTTGACTGAAATAACCACTCGTTACAACCGAGGTATGTGGCAAAGCATTTGTGAAGCCACAACACGCACAACCTTGAGGCGGATGGCCTACAACAGCAGAAGACCCCACCGGGTACCACTCATCTCCACTACAAATAGGAAAAAGAGACTACAATTTGCAAGAGCTCACCAAAATTGGACAGTTGAAGACTGGAAAAATGTTGCCTGGTCTGATGAGTCTCGATTTCTGTTGAGACATTCAGATGGTAGAGTCATAATTTGGCGTAAACAGAATGAGAACATGGATCCATCATGCCTTGTTACCACTGTGCAGGCTGGTGGTGGTGGTGTAATGGTGTGGGGGATGTTTTCTTGGCACACTTTAGGCCCCTTAGTGCCAATTGGGCATCGTTTAAATGCCACGGCCTACCTGAGCATTGTTTCAGACCATGTCCATCCCTTTATGACCACCATGTCCCCATCCTCTGATGGCTACTTCCAGCAGGATAATGCACCATGTCACAAAGCTCGAATCATTTCAAATTGGTTTCTTGAACATGACAATGAGTTGACTGTACTAAAATGGCCCCCACAGTCACCAGATCTCAACCCAATAGAGCATCTTTGGAATGTGGTGGAACAGGAAGCTTCGTGCCCTGGATGTGCATCCCACAAATCTCCATCAACTGAAATCCTATCAATATGGGCCAACATTTCTAAAGAATGCTTTCAGTACCTTGTTGAATCAATGCCACGTAGAATTAAGGCAGTTCTGAAGGTGAAAGGGGGTCAAACACAGTATTAGTATGGTGTTCATAATAATCCTTTAGGTGAGTTTATTTCTGTTGATCCATTAAAAATCTATGCAACCGAAACTTTGAAGCTTTAAAAGATCATACAGAGATTGTAAAAGTATTCCATATTCTATATAAATGGAGTGATTTAGTCCAAGTGTTCTGAAGAGACACGATTGCTTTAAATGATGAACAGATTTAATATAGGATATTTATTCACATATAATAATTATGGAGTAATAAATATGAAAATGTATTGTGAATAAAAAGAGCACATCAAATATGGAAGATCAAACATACTTACTCAACGTCAAGCAAGCACATATGAAGACATCAGATGCAAAAGTCGCTAAACGCCACCCGCCAATGATATTGAGCGAATTCTCGCCACACATAGTATATGTTCATCAAATACTTTATTTTTCAAACTGCTAAATTCTAGCCTCAGCCCATTCAGAAATACCAGTTTGTCAGCAAAAGGTGTGGTGACAAATTGGGTCCTCCCTCAAATCAGGTCTTCGTTAGGACCCCCAAGCGATCCCATCGGCTCAAATTACTTTTAATAGGTACTCTTTAACGCCTGTTTACAATTCCCACAAAAACTTGTGATGATAAAAGCTGCTTTAACTATGGGATACTGACCATTTAATGTCTGTATTAGTTAGCTTATGTACTAGCATAGCACACACACAGATTAGCCTGATAGCTTAGTTTATACATGCGGTTGCACTTACAAATGTATTCGTATGTATTCACAATTATCTTTAATGTAATTACGCGTTAAATTAATTGTAAAATGTCAAAATATTTCAGTTATAAAAAGAACAATGTTCAATTATTCACTTAACACTGGCCATGAGATTGACCCTTGTGTCCCATAATCACTGAATCCTGCTACCAGTCCTGAGTTTTTACCACTATGCCACAGACACCTGACACACGTCCAAGTCAATCTCAGAAAATGTGTGATTGTATGTCATATAAGAGACGCATAATGTCAGATGTCTCACAGTTTCAGACTCTAATTTTAAACATTTGTAACTTCACACCTCTAAATAAATATCCCTTGACTGCTTGCCAAAAATGCGTGTGCCATTAAATTGGTTGGTCTACATGGTACACCGTGTTCTGGACCACGGAAAAAAACAACACACGCTTATGTAAATATTGGGCGTGTGCCATGCAGTATTTGCTGTATTGACCCTTTCACTAACTGTCCCAAAGAAAAATTACAAATACTATTTTCATAATATAGAACATACTTTTTTAATGCATTTACATGTCCTTGTTGCTCTCAGCCACGTAGTTTGAGGCCGATTTCTAGTCGCTACTGTGGGTAAAAGTTTGATAACTTCTTCCTGAAAATGAAAGGTAATGGAAAGCTATATTTCAAGTGATTGACATTGGTGTAAACATGTATTCTTGCTCTTTAGATACAGTGCGGTCACTGGGGAATGGGCAAAAGATGACATATGTATCAAGATTTCCTCTCAGGTACTTTGGTGACGTCATACACTTGTTTTCAGTTTGAGATAGAAGTTGCATTTCTGTAAATATGTTTCTAATTAATTGGGATATATTTGTTTTACAGCCGTTTGGAAGAGGAGCCATGAGAGAATGCTTCAGATCGTGAGTCAAGCAAATATATATTGAATATATACCATAGACTAAGAAAACATTACTGTTTATTAATGAATATTTGGAATAGAAATGAAAGTGTTATTCCGTTTTTGTAGTTCATATAAGTTTTTAAACTATGAATATTTCATGTAATTGCTTAATTGCTTTCATAAATACTGCACATTATTATATTTAAAGGATTAGGAAAATATTGTGTAGAATTGTTTTGTTTGTCATGCCAACTTTAGTATTTGTTATCCTGTACAAAAAATGCATCCCTTATTACGTCCCTTTCTTTGTGATGTATTTTCCATTCAAGTGATATTTTTATTAGGGATGCCCCTTAATAATCAACTTGATGTTAAACACGGAGCTCACTTCTCTCCAACATAGAGACAGATATCATGGGGGAAAATAGCGACGGTGAATCAGATCCAAATTGTAGTGTTTCGGTTTGCTGTTGATTTTTATTTATTTGTTTTTGTTTATATTTTGTTTGTGTTCTGACTGAAAACTGAGTTTTCATTCAATATTAAGGCTACACTTGTCCGTCTGCCTAATCCTGGCTTAGATTTTAAGCCAGGATTAAGCCTTTGTTTTAATAGGACATTTAACCCTTGTGCATCCTCCTTATGGATATTTTCAGTTTTTTTTATTTTTTATTTTATTTTATTTTTAAAATTTTGCCTGTGTTAATGTCAACTGCATCAATTTTGGCACAGGTTTGAATTTTTATTGGCGTTATACTATTTCACCCCCATTTCCTTTAAAAAAAATCTATTTTTCAATGCATTAGGTATACAAAAAAAATCCTCTCTTTCCTGTCCACCTTGAAATTTTTAATCCCAAGGACATTTGAACATACAATGATGCAATATTTCTAATAGGATTTCATTCTGTTGGCAAGGCTTCAATATTTAAATTTTTAGTATTTTTTTACCAGATGGTGCCATTTTTCTCAGGCTTAGCCTAAAGCAAATTTTTGCTTTTTTCCTGTTTTCTGCTTCTGCAGTGATAATTGTGTGGGTGTGTTGGTATGGATGTCAGGATGTTAGATTTATAACTTTGATTTATGAACATTATTTTATATAACTTTTATATTTTATGAAACGTTTTGCACTATAAAAACTGCTAGAAAATATTCATAACCAACTTTTTTTTTTTTATTACTTTTTTAATCTTTTAAAACAGCTCAAACATGCATTTTAGTCTGGGACTATGGGCTTAAACCTTGTCTGTGAAACCAGGGGTTAATTTAATATTTTAAATGCTCATTATTATGGTTTAGTATTTCTCCCCCAACTAACTGACCAATTGCTTAAAGGGATACTCCACTTTTTTGGAAATAGGCTCATTTTACAACTCCCCCAAAATGTTGAGTTTTACCGTTTTTGAATCCATTCAGCCGATCTCCGGTTCTGGCGGTACCATTTTTAGCATAGCTTATCATACATAATTGAAGTGGACAAGACATTAGCATTTCTCCCAAAAAAGTTACATAGTGCACTAAGATCAGCGGAAAATGTAAAGTTGAGTGCAGCAGGCATAATGACTACACAAACTTAGTCCCGGTCACGTTGGAAGCCAGGCACTATTTTCAGGCGCTGTATATCATGCACTCATGGTACAGCAGTAAAGTTTCTTGATTATTACGTAGGAATGAGAGTATAATTCCTAGCCATATCAGCCTAGAAAATCGCAACTTTACATTTTCCGTCTGTCTTAGTGCAAGATGTAACTACAGAAAAGTCAAGTTTTAAATAGGAAAAATATCGAAACACTTTTCTCTTTTTGAGAAATGCTAATGGTCCTGTGCACTTCAATGATGTATGCTAAGCTATGCTAAAAGTGGTACCGCCAGAACCAGAAAACGACTGAATGGATTCAAAAACGGTAAAACTCAACAGTTTAACTCTGGGGGAGTTTTAAAATGAGCCTTTTTCCAAAAAAAAAAAGTGGAGCATTCCTTTAAATGAACGACTAATAGTCGACTAGGAAATGATTTAGTCAGGGGCAGCCCTAAATATGATACTCTCATCTAGTCTTAAAATGGATTTTGTGTTGACCTGTAGCTTTCTATTCGCTATCGTTCACAGGAAGAAGTTATCAAACTTTTCCCACAGCAGCAAATGGAAATCAGCCTCAAACTACGTGGCAAAGCGCTACATGGAGACTGTTGACAGAGAGGTTTACTTTGAGGATGTGAAGTTACAAATGGAGGCTAAATTATGGGGCGAGGAGTTCAATCGCCACAGGCCTCCCAAACAGGTACTTCTCTGGTGGATGTTGTTAATGTTCATAAAACACTGACACAGTTTTAACTAGGTTTTACCACTCAAAACCGGTTTGAACAATCATGCCAGATACGAATGATGTACTACTTTAACGTATCCCATCATTATTAGGTTGACATCATGCAGATGTGTGTTGTGGAAATGACTAATCGCCCTGGGAGCCCTTTGTTTCACCTGGAACACTACATTGAGGGGAAGTACACAAAGTACAACTCCAACTCTGGTTTCGTGAGGGACGATAACATACGGCTTACACCCCAGGTTGTCATGGATGTATAAAATCTGAATCTGTTGTCCCAGTGAAATGATGTGTGATTATTGATTGGCAATGATGTTTTTGTGGCTTTAGGCATTTAGTCATTTCACATTTGAGCGCTCTGGACACCAGCTGATAGTGGTGGACATTCAGGGCGTTGGGGACCTTTATACAGATCCTCAGATCCACACTGAGAAGGGGACTGACTTTGGAGATGGCAACCTGGGTATTTATCAATATCCTGCATTTGTTTTCCTTATAAACTTGAAGACATTTTATAAATCTTAAGCACGAGTACTTTAAGCATGAGGAACCTTTTAGTGATGCACTGAAATTTTGGCAACTGAAAATTTTTGGCCGAAATTCATTTTTAGTTATTGACTGAAACGGTGATCTTTATTTAGTACCACTCTGATGATGTAGTTTATTGGGTTTTTTTGACTGTGTCTTTTTCATGCTCACGATGTGGATAAACTACAACAGGTAATTATGTCAGCTGTGTGGACAATATACATTTTTCGTTTCGTTTTGATGAACCGAGATGTTTTAGTCTATGCTGTTTTCAAAACACAAAACATTATTTGTAGTGCACCTCAAGCTTTGTAACTTTTGAGGCCCTATTTTAACGATCTAAGCTCGTGGTCTGAAAAGTGCGCGACGTCGTAAACGCACTTAGGGCGTGTCCGAATCCACTTTTGCTAGTTTAACGACGGAAAAAATGGGCCCGGTGCATGGTCTAAAAGGTTTGTCCCTATTCTCTTAATGAGTAATGAGTGTGTTTTGGGTGTAATGTGCAATAAACCACTCAAGAGTCTCATCTCCCATTCCCTTTAAAAGCCAGTTGCGATCGCCCCATGGGGGATTAGCTATTTATAAGGCGGAAATTGCTAGCGGAAAAACTGAACGCTTCTCTAGTGAGGAAACGGATCTGAGCTGACCATCTATGGAACAAAGTGTATGCACGTTGTTGACCCGCCTATCCATAAGTTTCCTACGCCCCATGAGGCCTTGCGTCAAAAGTGGGCGTGTCTTCCGGTTTGAAGTAAACAAAGCGCGACTTGACATGCTTGACACTCGTTCATTCAACAGTTGACAGTCATTCGAGTTATAGCGATCCAAACTAGCTAACGATGTGGGAACACAACCTCAACGAAATTCAAACAGTACCTTTACCCTCCGCAGTAGTTGGTTGGGAGTGTTATAACATTATTAATAATCAATACTCATCAAGGCATGGTGACAGACAGTTGTGCGAGCTGACAAACAATTAAAATAAAAAATACACACTTAGTCATTGTGCTTTGGAGTTTATTCAAAATTATAAATGAATGTGCTGCTTGAATACATTAACTGGCACATTTGGTATTCTGTCAACGCAGGCTTTGATCCTGAGTTTAGCTGTAACATCAGTAGCGAACAGCCAATCACATGCTGATAGAGTTTATAGAATATTAAGAATTTAAACAAATGTACACAGGAAAATTCGTCGTCTTTTGGGAGGTGATGGAAACTAATGTCGTTGGCAGGATCAGAGACGGGCTCTGGCAGGATCACTCTGATTTCGTTTTCAGCTTATGTCCAAAACAATCACGTTTAAGCCACTGAATTAGTTTAGTCCGTTTATACATACAACCGCGAAAAGCACATGTTGTCCCTGAGCTCCGTAACGACATCTCTCATAAAGATTTGCGTCTTTAAATAGTAAAATAATTCTCAGAAAAACAGCTAGCCTCTTCGCTAACTAACACACAAAATACCATTGGAATGCTACTTCCGCCGCCTCACCGGAAGTTTCACCCACTTTATTTTTTAGTGGAGCGCCCCTCGGAAACTTGTGGATAGGCGCATATTACTTACACTCTCTTTAAATAACAAAAAAAGTATTGTGAATAAAACGAGGTGTGTTCAGGCGCATTGTTGGCGCATTGCTATTTTGAGGAAAGTCAATTGCGCAGTCTGTTTCAGTTGCCTCAAAATAGCAATGCGCCTGAACACACCTCGTTTTCAGACCTGCACGCTCATGGGCGCAAATGCATTTGCTATTTAAACAACATGGCGCAGGGCGTGAAAATAATAACTGCGTCGGGCTGAAACTAGCAAAAAATAGTAGCGTTGCGGCTGGCGCTGCATTGCGCTGGATGTATGATAGAGCCCTAGATATGGAACAAAATCTTCTGAAAATAACTCTGGAGAGGAGCATTTAAATAAATATATGCACTATATTACACATTCATTATTATTTTACTTTTAACCTGTGACTTTATTAAGTTATGTATGTTTGAACAAATACAGCCACCTTATAAATATTTCTTTTTCAACAATGAATTGGAGTAGAAACATAATTAAAAATTGATATAAAACTTCCTTTTTAATCTGTGCATTTGAAATATTTTGTCGTTCGTGAAAAATTGTTTCTGCGCATCACTAGTAATGGTTGTTTATGTATTTTGTGTTTCAGGTGTGCGTGGCATGGCACTTTTCTTCCACTCTCACCTGTGTAATAAGATCTGTAGGAGTATGAGGCTCACTCCGTTTGACCTGTCCCCTGCTGAAACTGCACAACTGGACTGCACCAACAAATTGCTGGTTTGTACAAGTTCCTTATTTATTCTTCCTCTGTATATACAAAACATTTAAAGCAATAGTTCACTTCAAATTGAAAATTCTGTCATCATTTACTCACTCACTTAAGTTGTTTCAAACCTGTATGAATTTCTTTCTTCTGCTAAACACAAAGGAAGATATTTTGAAGAATGTCGGTAACCAATCAGCTGATGGACCTCATTGACTTCCATAGTAGGAAAATAAAAATTCAGTCAATGCAGTCCATTAGCTGTTTGGTTACCGACATGCTTTGTGTGTGGCAGTCGGCCTTAAAGCGTCGGACACTTTGTTTTGTTTTGTTGTTAGTCTAATTTTGTGATTGACTTTAGGTTAACCATTTGCCGGTTCCAGCCTCCGCCTTCCCTGAGCTTGAACTGTGTTACACTTATGTTTACCACAGACTTTTTTAAGGCATTTAACCAAAAACTTCAGGACAGAAGTGTTAAAATTAGGGCTGAACGATTAATTGCATTTGCGATAAAATCGCGATATGATGAAACGCGATTTCGTAATCGCAAGAGCTGCGATTACACTGGTCACGTGACACGCGAGAGAAAAGCAGTCTGCAAGATAAAGCATCAACTTGCCACGCTACGCGGTCAGGCGTTCAGAAAAGAAGAGTTTATTTTTAATATATGTGATATTGTGTTATTTTTTTCTCTCCTCAACAATCCTGGATCGATTCAGAGAATTTCAGAATCGAGTATGAGCTTATAGTTTTTAAACACAGATGTGTGATGACGCCGTGATGATGCTTTAGAAACGAACCGGGTTCTGAATCTGCTTGCTTCTATTTTCTCGCTCTCTCTCTTCCTCACTCACACACACGACACCGCTCGAACCTTACAAAACATAGTAGCTAACGTTATTTCATAAAGTTAGGGACTGAACCGAATTTACAAGGACATTCGCGGGCTTCATTGAACAGGCTTTGCTTGATGTTATAACGTTACACTTGCAGTGCGCGTTCTCTCCCGCGGGTATTTTCTTTACAAATGATTCACAGAGGCATTATTTATGTATTTTGGAATGCAGTCGGCTTATATATTAAAACCATGAAAATCACTGAGAAGGCTGCTTTCATTTTAAAATACTAACGCGTGCTTTGTGAAGAGCGCTCGTGCATGCGGCCGTGAGTGACTCATTGGTAAATGTACTTGCATGTCAAAATGCTTTTATGACGCGAAATTAATGTAAACACGGTCAGTTATATCTTAAACCAACAGGACAAACCACATTTACAATTCGAAAAGAGATATATGCATTAGTGTGAATGCAGCTTATCGTATCTAAACTGAGGGGAAATCACTCCAGCTCTTGAATGAAAAACATTCAGACAGCCTACTTTTAAATACTGAGACCACTCTTTGTTTATTGCTTGTAATGTTTTTTTTTTGTTTGTTTCTCTTTATTTACTAGCTTTTATATTTTGAAGCTATATTATTTTATATAGCCTATTTAAAATTCTTAACATGTAATTGGTTTAATTAAATGTTTTTTTTAAAGTATGTGTTTTTACACATGTAATTAAATACATATTTTAAGAGTTATTAAGATTAATTAATAAGAAAAAAAAGTAGATCGGATCATGAGCTATCTAAAGATTCCCATCCCTACTGTACAATGATTTATTGCTTGTCTTTGTCGACTAATACAGAAGGTAAATAACTTTTTTTTTTTTAAATCGCATATTAAATCGCAATCGCAATATTGGTTAAAAAAATCGCAATTAGATTATTTTCCAAAATCGTTCAGCCCTAGTTAAAATGGTGACGGCGCAGTAGATAAGACACATGCCTTTGGTGTGAGAGACTCGGGTTCGAATCCACTGTGAGACACCAATGTGTCCCTGAGCAAGACACTTAACCCCTAGTTGCTCCAGAAGCGTGCGACCTCTGACATATATAGCATTTGTAAGTCGCTTTGGATAAAAGCGCCAGCTAAATGAATAAATGTAAATGTAAAATACTAAATCATTTGCGGGTTTGGTGTACAAACCAATGTCGGCCCCTCGTTTTTCCCTTTTTTGATTAAACATTCTGTACTAAAATATTATAATTTAGTTCTGATAGTTTTTGTGGCATTGCTGACCCGTCAGTCTAACAGAATAAAATTCATGTCTCTAAGCCCTGCATTCACAAACTGTTGCAAGTGGTTAAGAATTGGGATTATTTTAACAAATATTTCTGAAAATTTTCTAAATTAATTCAATTTTTTCTAAGCAGAATTCAGCTCAGACTGTCCTCCGCGGATGTGAAGAGCAGTGTGGTTCGCCCAGGGTTCGGACAATCTCTCTCGGCCACATGCCTGTTCTTCTGTCCAGGCTCTCTGAGACTTCTTCAGTTGATGAAAACAGCGAGACAGACTCGGTTCCCTGCTCTCCACTTAGTATTGGCGTCTCTGCAGACCGATCATCCATGGGTAATACTATACTTACCTGGTACAATGTGTGAATGCACTTAAAGGCATAGTTCACCGAAAAATTAAAATTAGCCCATGATTTGCACTCTCAAGTCATCCTAGGTGAATATGGCATTCTTCTTTCAGACGAATACAATCAGAGATATATTACAAAATGTCCTCTTTCAAGCTTTATAATGGCAGCTTCATAAAATGCATCTATCCGTGATAAAAGTGCTGAAAACATTCCAGGATTTTCTCCATATAATGCACTTTATTGGTAACCAAACGGTTCAAGGTCCAAAAGACACTTTCAGTGCAAACTGCAAACTGTTCAAAGGGCTTTAAATGATTCCAAACGATGAATAAGGGTCTTATCAAGCGAAATGATTGCTCAAAAAAAAAAAAGTTAAGTTTTATAAGCTCAAATGGTCGCCTTGTTCTGTTCTGTGACGCACGTTCGTGACTCCTGTTCGAACTCGTTCATCAAAATGAACAAATCTTTTTCTGAGTCAATTCGTTCATTTCGTTCGTTGAATGAACCAAATGACTCGAAAAAAGATTTGTTCATTTTGATGAACGAGTTCGAACAGGAGAGTCACGAACGTGCGTCACAGAACAGAACAAGGGGACCATTTGAGCTTATAAAACTTAAACTTTGTTTTTTATTTATTAAATGAGCGATCGTTTCGCTTGATAAGACCCTTATTCATTGTCTGAAATCGTTTAAAGCCCTTTGAACAGTTTGCACTGAAACTGTCTTTTGGACCTTGAACCGTTTGGTTCCCAGTAAAGTCCATTGACTCAAAAAAAAGTCCTGGAATGATTTCATCAAAAACCTTAATTTCTTTTCGACTGAAGAAAGAATGACATGGACATGTTGCTAAGTAACCTTCCTGGGCCAGTTTGCACTGACCTTTAATTGTTTTGATGAATATTATAAGGACATATTCCAATTTATCAATATTGGATAAGGCTTTAGTAGAGTATACACTTGTTAGAGATATCAAAACTGTCATGTCAGCAATTTAACATTATGATTTGATAAAGTATAAACACAAGTGTTTAAGCAATTATTACCAAGAGCACCCTGATTGGTATCACTACATATTCTGTGTTTAAAAAAAAAAATTGTTTTAAGCTTTTCCTCAATTCATGTGCTCAAATGAAAGTGCAACATATCAAGGCATTCTAGCTCAAGTATAAAGTTAGCTCTCAGGTGCATAATGAAATACATATTTTGATTTGGGACTTATTTTTATTAATTTCACCTCCAATGTCTCTTGATTTATGTTTCATAACAGGCTGGTCTTTTATGAATGAAATGAATGAGAAACATCGAGCTAACTCGGATCAAAAGGTCAGTTTGTGAATAAGAAAATATATATATATCCATTGTTGACAGTGGAGCTGATGGAAATGGGAGATGATTTATACTATGAACTGTACTTGCATTCACAGGACTCAGAGAATGGAGGAGACAGTGGTTGCCCTAGTGAGAGACGCAGTGAAGGAGACTTAGTGGAACATCACAGCCAGGTATCGAATATCACCTGGATATTTGATTTATTTTTTACAGTATTTGTATCCAGCACAGGGTTTTGGATGATTGTCGGCATTAAATCTGAACAAATACAGAACATTATTACATTTAAATAAACTATTGTTTTGTTTTTAGATAGATATAGATTATGCTAATAATATTGATATTTCATATGTTAAGTGCCAGGCTACTGAGAGCTGTAGTTGAAATTATAACCTGTTCTTGCTTGATTTCTTTGTCACTCCATTCTACTGCATTATAAACTTGTTGTTGTGTGCTGTGCTCACTTGCATCATAAAATGCTGAAGTTATACTTTTTTGGGCTCCTAAGACATGTGATGGTAGGTTTTTAATGTATTCATCATTATTTAGGGACGTCCCTTCTACAACAGACATTTCTCAGAATCGGATGAGGACAGTGTTCGTCGGGTAACTACAAAACCGTTGATAAAATCCCTGTCTCTAATCACGATAGTCACCCATCACCCATTGATTCCTAATCTTTCTTCTCATTGAATAGTGGTGCTGTATTTTTTTTTTCATTTAAACCTCTAAACCTTTTCATCTCCTTATTCTTTCATCTAAACCCCTTAATCTCATCTTACTTTAACCCTCACAAGTGGCAAGCTCTCCTTTCCCGTACTGTACACGCATATGCTGGGTTCCCAAATGTCATTGTCAGGGAGTTTTGAAATTGTAATTTTTGGCATGTAAAAGTCATGGAAACGTCTCTTGTTTTGCTCAAAATATATTTCATTGAGTAGCAGGTGCTGCTTGTGAGTGACATTTCTATTAAAACCATACATTTAATAAAAAGGCTGGAATGACTGGAGAAGTCATGTGGGAACCCGGCATGTGATTTCTTGCATGACTTTAATGGTGCTATATGTAACTTTTCTTCTAAAATGAATGCTTCTTTATTGCCTTTGTGTGAAGGGGTTGTAATCACACATTACAATGATCCACTTGTTGGGTTTTGCTGTTACCTCTGAAGGCCAGTATTCCTATTTCTATGTGAAGTCTCCGGGTCGGATTTTCTGCGAAATCCATCGGATGTGGCGTTAATGCGCGCTCCCGAGCCTCTCTCCTTTATATACAGTCTACTGGAGCGAACGACATGAGTCTGATAACACCAAAACACTCCTGTCTCCAGCACAACACACACTCCACATAAATATAAAACACAAAAATGTATCTGCTGAAGCTCGTCAGGCCAAACGTGAATCGTGACTTAGGACGAAAACACGGATCAGAGCGTTTGAATTATGAAGAGACCTCCGCTATTGTTATTGTGATAAATTACAAGTTTTCAGATATGCTAAAATAAATAATGGTAAATAAAGCACGACCGATAAATGGTCTCATTTATGATTTTGAAGGCCGATACCGATACAAATATTTTTGGGTTTTAAAATCCGATATTCCGATATATCGGCCGATATTTTTTTTTTTATTAAATGTTGTATTTCACACACGTGTAAAAGAAAAGCTAACTTTTCTGCACAAGATACAATTGATACTTTTTCTCTATGTCTAAATGTTCACTCCTCGCAAGTATAACTTCATTTTACATTGCAGGGATTGTTACTAGAGATATACTAGTTATAAATACAGTAATCATTACTTTATTTAGGCAGAAAAAGTTCATTGTGGTTTCCAAGCTCATTAATGTTAACGTTAGCGGTCTTCCACTGATGATTGTGGTTAGCTAGTCTACTGTATGATGAGCCATAATTTAGCAATAGATAACATCATACTGCAAATTGTAAAACATACATTTTCAATATAACAGGCCAGGGAGAGATGATTGAAGCGTGTTTCGTCCATTTTTATTTTTTTAAATATTCATTTATCGGCCATTATAACTACCGATACCGATATTTTGGAAAATGCCTAATATCGGCCGATATATCGGTCTGGCTCTAATGGTAAATTGTAATGAAATAGCAAGGTAAACTACAACATACATGAGACATGAAATTAATACAATAGACTGTTCCAGAATAACAAAAAGTAGGTGCTTTAGGATGTAACTTTTATTTTATGTAGTAGATCTACTGTGTAACGTCACTCATCCCACTACTATCATATTGTTTATAATACACATTTCCAGACACGTTCAGTACAGTAATGTTACTTCCTACGATCTTACTGTTACACTGATATTGTTCAGTCTAACCGTTTTCGTTATCATATTATACATTCACCTATGTTGACATTGCTGATTGTGAAAGATACACAAATAGTTAGTGAAATGCCTTATGCTAGATAACACCACAAATGTAACGTTATCATGGTACGAGCATAGGGCATTAGTTCAGTCAAGCTGATAAAAGTAGCCTATTATTGTAATGTTGCAGTGGGAGATTACATTAGTTGGTGTGTTGAAAGTCTCAGTGTGGCCGTGTAACATGAGTGATCACTCTTGTGTTTGAGCAAGAGCATGAGCGCCGCTCTTGGTGCAATCTCAGACATCACCGATAGAGGCCGCTAAAAATACATATAGCACCTTTAAGTGTTTATTTTTTTGTGGTTTTCAAAGTGTCACAGATGTTAGTTAGTTCTTCTGCTCAGCATATTTCAAGGATTCAACGAATGTTATACATAAACAAAGAGTGAAAGCAGTTACAATGACCAGCCGTTTTCACTGACAATAAAGGAACACTTCACAGACCAGCTATGCACTGTATTTGACATCACAACAGACTAGCGCTCTAAGCTATTCGTGGTTCCTAGACCTAAACAGTCTATTTCTGACCTTGGTCTTGGCCAGCAATGGATAAAAAAAGTGTGGATATGTTTAAAATTTTGACAATTCATATAGTCAATGTTTTGCCTCAGTTATTACTCTAGGGATAATCTGTATTTTTTTTTTTGTCTCTCAGCTGACAGAAGAAAAATGGAGTTTTTACCATTCATCTCGCTCCCACATACACAGATCCTCCTGTGTGGCAATGGAGGTGGAGAGACTGAACACTATGCTTCTTGAAAGGAAAATTGGCAAATCCATCCTAGGCAAGGTAAGAAATTGTGTCGTGTGTTTACAAACCTGGTCCTGAAACCGACAAATATGTTTTTTATACTGACTTAAAGACTTCAGTTCAGCTAGGGTGAGCATTTGAAACTGAATGAAATGATTGGATTAAATATTTTTCCACAGAGGATAAATGTAATTTTTATGACCACTTTTTTTTTTGAGCACTTTTATTAGTGATTGCTATCAGGATGTGAGGAAAGTTTCAACCGGTATAACAAAAAGTGTTTATGAAAACATTTCCCATCCTTTAATGGAAATTCTGTCAGGTTTCTGTCCCTCCATTGAAAGTCCATGCGACCAAAACTTTGAAAAAGGTCATAAAGGTGTCGTAAAACGAATCCATATGAATTGAGTTTAGTCCAAGTCTTGTAAAGAGATAGAATTGCTTTATATGATGAGCAGATTTAATTTAGGGGTGCATTTGTCTTTAACATGAAAGCTCAAACTTGCATGTGTCATACACTAGAACAGACCTCACTGGTTCTCCTGAGGCACACACACGTTTGAGCTTCTGTTCTTCTTACCATATTTGATGTGCTCTATGTATGCTTTCTAAATTAAATCTGTTGATCATATAATATATCTCTTCGCAAGACTTGGATTAAAACACTGGATTCGTTTTACGACGCATTTATGAACTTTTTGTACGTTTTGTTTGCACAAACTTCCAGTTGAGGGACCAAAACCTTTCATTAACATCATCTTTATTTGTGTTTTAAAGGACCAAAGTCTAAACGAGAAAAGAGTAAGTAGATGATGGCTGAATTTTCATTCTTGGGTGAACTGTCCCTTTTTAGGTTCATCTAGCCATGGTCCGCTACCACGAGGGCGGGCGCTTCTGTGAGAAGGATGAACCGTGGGACGAGACTTCTGCAATCTATCATCTGGAGAGGGCCACCATGTGCGGGGAGCTCGAGGCTATCGTTGCCCTTGGCCAGTGCTATCTTCAGCTGCCACATCACATTCTACCAGAGATAGAATTAGAGGTGCTTTTTCCCCAAATGGTCTCACGGATGGTAACTAGGGGTGTAACGATACACATATTCGTATTGGTTCCTTGGACCATTTTTCCTGCCGACCAACATTTCGTTATTTCATGTGTTGGCGCATCGCGCGGGGCAAGCGTGCACATAGTGGTGGGGTGTGACCACAACTTTCGCCAACATCAAATGGCAAATGTAATGTAAGCGGAACGAAACTGAGCTACTCGTTATTGTGTGGTTGACGGACCGTTTATCAGTTTGGACCAATGCAGCGCGAGCCGATCTTAATCAAGCAGCACTGATACTACACAGCCAAATCCAGTAAAGAAAACATTTGAATTCGCCACTGAAGTAATAACATCGCAGCGAGATCTAGTGAGAAACATTCACATTTCTCCGTTATTAACTGACGTGGAAACAGGAAGAAAGATTGTGAACTAGCCATGAATGAACTATCCAGTGTCCACAGATCAGCAACATTCACCATGGATTTACTGTATAACACTACTATCTGTAACCATGGAAGTTTGGCAGGAATAGTAGGCTATAATGCTTTCAAGTAACATCACGTCGGTTTTATTTTGACATTATGAATACAATTGCTGCCCTCAAACGTTAATCTGAACCAACTAAACCTTTGTTTATAACTACTACAATATTACATTTCATTTTGTCCAAGGAGCTGTTTTGTTTTATATGCTCCTAAGAAAGGTCAAGTATAGCTCCATCATTGCTCAAAGTAAAAAAATATCATACTTTATGATGTTAGTTTTGATAAAGGATATTTCTCTGGCATTTCTTTCTCAGAAACATACCGAACCGTGACACAAGTGTATCGTATCGAACCGAACCATGAATTTTGTGAACCGTTACAGCCCTAATGTTAACATATTATTTCATCTCTCTGCCCTGCTTATTCTTCCTCTGTCATGTCTGTGTTGTTTCATCTCAGGCATCCGAGGAAAACAGCAAGAAGGGCTTCGGCCTCCTGCTGCAGGCCGCCGAGGCTGGAGACCGGCCCAGTATGATTCTAGTGGCACGGGCATTCGACACGGGTCTGAAACTTCCTTCTGATAGGTAAGAATCATTTTTTTCACATCATTCACATCAATTTTTATTTGTATGGAACAAAATGTGTTTAGACAGGCATCCTCCGACTCAGTATGGAATTTGATTTTAGTAATGTCCAAGTCTGGATATTAAGTATAAAGACAATTTCCAGACGTTTTCAGACTGTTGCCCCTATTTAGTTATTAATATAAATAACGGTAACACTTTTCACTATTTGACGACCCGCAAACAACTGCGTAAGTTTACGGAAATTACGCTGTACGTTTCTGTAATTATAGGGTACTTCCGTGTAGGTATAAGGGAACAATATGTTAAATTTTGGGTAATGAAGGGGTCACAAGCAGATTTACAAGCAAATTGTTTATAATGTAAATATTTTAAAACTGACAGGTACCTATTATACCTATTACCTATTATATATATATATATATATATATATATATATGCAAGTTATAATGTGTTTTAAGTTTCTTGTAAGCATGCATAAACAATGCATTTGGTGAACATGAAAGTCGACCAGCACTGCCAAAAAAAAAAAAAAATTACAGATTATTGTACTATATACTGAATATAACGCTGGAATAATAATGCCTGATAATAAATGATTTCATCAGTTGTGAATAATGTTATTCTGAATAACATATCCTGCCATTATTTTGAAAATAATATTTCCACAAAACATTCCACAAAACACAATATTGTTACTGATAACAATATGAAGAGTTCAGATGCAAAAGCCTCTAAATGCCATTTGAAATTTTCTTCTTTAATGATGATTTTTATCAAACTTGTATATTTAAGTTCAGTAATTTCACTTAAATAACAATTAATAGGTAATTATCATTGCCATTTAAGTGAAATTACTGAACTTAAATATACAAGCTTGATAAAAATTATCATTCTAGAATAAAATTTCAAATGGCACTTAGAGGCTTTTGCATCTGAACTCTTCATATACAAAACATATATATATATATATAATATATATATATATATATATATAATCAGTAACAATATTGTTTTTGAAACATAACTTATTACTAATAATATGAATTTAAAGTACACATTCAATGCTGCACATTGAATGTGAACTGGGTTTGGTGTTCATTGATTTTGAATGATCTACAGGACATATCTACAGTATTCCAGCAGTTATTTGGCACCATAATAACATGTAATAGCAATGTATTTTGAAACCATTTATCACATGTTAAATATGGCCTGAAAAAATGTTTCATTTTAAAATGGAAAATCTGTTCTAACCCACTTTAGAACTGAAAGTTTTATTTTGAAAACGCAGGGCGTTGGACTGGTTGCACGCGGTGCACTGGTACGACTCTGCCCTTAAGATGACAGACTATGACGAGGGCGGAGAGTTTGACGGGATGCAGGACGAGCCACGCTACCTTCTGTTGGCACGATTGGCTGAGATGTACCAGGAGGGAGGGTTTAACCTGGATGCAGACCCCCAAAGAGCAGGTGAGTGTATGTCACGCTACATTCATCAATATCATCAAACACAGTGGTTCAGTACTTCAGATTTGACATCAGAAAATATTACAACAATATGATATCAGATTGGACAATTTAGATTTTCTAAATGTGTCCTTAATTTGCTGAATTTGCATTTTGTAGGTGATCTCTTCAACGAGGCAGCTGATGCAGCTATGGAGGCCATGAAGGGTAGACTGGCCAATCAGTACTACATGAAAGCGGAGGAGGCATGGGCTTTGATGGAAGAATGAAAGTGCTGATTAGCCAAAAAAAAAAAAACCCAAAATGATTCATATTCTGCATCCAGACCCTGTTTACATGCTGTTTTCAATGGTCTATTTGACAAATGTTCCGTTTTGGTCTTGGTAATGTTGATCTTGGATCAAGTTTTGAAAGAATGTGACATGGGCATGTGCTGATTCTAGATCAGTGATATACTGAGGTGCTAAATATACACACTCTCATGGTTAATTTTTATTTTTTCCATTAAGAATAGTTGCACGGTGTCTGAAGCCTGTTCTGGGTGCTTCGTGGGAATTTGGGATATGCGCATTACCTGTCAGTGATTTTATTCTCTTTATTCTGAAAGGCCAACTGGACATTTTATTAATAAACCTGTTGTGACTGTTAAAAAATTACATTATTGATGATTTAACATACTTCTGTAAAATCAATTTACTATATTGTTAGATCTGCCGTGTAAGGATTATAAGCATCAAAGGTTTTTGCTGTGAGTTTTAACCTGTTTTTGCATTGATACTGTCAAAAATAACTTCCAGAATTCACCATAATCAAGGGCTGTACCAATGTGTGATTGTGTTTGCTTTTTTAATGAGTACTAAATTAAGTAATAATAAAATATTTTTTAAAAAGTTAGTCTCATTTCACAGTCTCATATGCCAGTTTAACTAAAAAGTAATATGATCTGTTTTCTTTGAATTTCAGGCATGACAAGGACATCCTAAAATACATTCCTTCAGGGTGGTAAATGTTTCTGATCGTTCAGTGCCAGCATCATGTGTGCAACAATGTCATTTCTTTTACAAAACGGTTAGTTCAATCCTTGTTTCTTATTGGTCAATTACTGCTTTATTCATGATAAAACACGTCTATGACCGCTTCAGCCAATGGTTCTATTTATCACTGCGCAACAATGCGGTGTACGTAGTTTTTATTTGAACTTTCTTGCATCCCAGCAAACAAAAGCCTGTTGAATTGCACTACTTGAAAAAATTTTTGCATTTTAATGCATTGCATTTTTAGGGCTTGCATTTTTTTGGGCTGAAATTCAGCATGGATAAAATATTTTGCAAGCATAATAATTAAGTTCTTGAAGTAAAGCTCAAAGTCTTTATATATATAGTTTACAATGAATTGAGAAATGAGTTTTCTAGATTGCAATGCCAAAAAAAGATGTAAGGTAGTCTCAAAAAAAGTACATTTTACTGTACATCTATACTTAATTTAAATTTTGACTCCATGAACGTTTTGACAGGAAAATATTGATGAATAAGCTTAAGAGAAATCTCTTTGACCTTATTTACAAATAGGTTCTTGTTAGGAAGAGTCCAAACCTTTTTCAATGAAATATCTTCCTGTAAAGAGTTCCACTTTGAAACAACATGAGGAGTGGAAACACAATCATTGAGAAAAAGAAGACGAATACCTATTATTATTTTTTAAAGTAGATTTAAAACATATCTTGCCTACATATGTGTCAGCCGGGTCCGGGAGAGGTACTTCAGGACTGGCCCTGAAATAGCATAATGACACCATTAGGCATAGCACCAAATAAAGAGGCAAAATGTTTTGAAGTAACAGGGATATTACAGTGAGAGAGAAATTCTTGATAAGTAAATAAGTAACCATCCTGATTAAATAATTGGCTAACCCGATTGATCCCATTCTTAAAACAGTTTTCAAAAAATAAGGACTTGTGTTTATAATAGGGCTGTCAAACGATTAATCACGATTAATCACATCCAAAATAAAAGTTTGTGTTTACATAATGTATGTGGGTGCACTATATATATACACACATGCTTGTATATATTTAAGAAATATTTTCATGTATATACTGTATATAGATTTATATATAATTTATATTATATATAAATATTATATATAAATAATATTTTTTTCTTAAATATACATGCATGTGTGTGTATTTATATATATATATATATATATATATACACACAAACAAAATAGTTATACACAGTGCACCCACATATATTATGCAAACACAAACTTTATTTTGGATGCTATTAATCGCAATTAATCGTTTGACAGCCCTAGTTTATAATAAATATTCTTATTATTCCAAATGAAGTAATTGGTTGGAGAAAAATTGTGTTTGAAAATCAAAGACCACACTAATAGTGCTTGTTTGTGGAAATTCGAGAGAGCAACAGGGATCTTGTCAATGCTGAAGTTACACATCAACAGAAAATTCAACATAAAAGTATTATTTTTTATTTTTATTAATTAATTTTAATTTTTAATTTATTAATTTTATAAGTTGCAAAATCAACAAAATTAAAGGGGTGGTTGATAGCGATTTCACTTTGTTCATTTTAAATAGTGTGTAATGTTGCTGTTGGTGCATGAACAGTATCTGCAAAGTTGCAGCGCTGAAAGTTCAATGTAAGCAGAGATATCGTCTTTTAAAAATCAGGAAATATTGCCTACAAAAACGACTCGATTGGGACTACAGCTGGGTTTTAGACGTCACTAACCCACACATTTACATCAAACCCTCCCTCCGGAATATGCAAAAAAGGGCATGGCCATGTTTCTGCGGCTCGTCGAGTGTGTTGTGTCCACCAGCTGTCAGGGCTTCTGTGTTCAGGCTTCCCACAGACTCTGTAGTTCGTCAACAGTGGATACAATTTGTGTTTGATAATAATTGTAATCGTAATCTAGCTCTCTGTGCTGCGCATTTTACGGAAGACAGCTTCCAGAATCTCCACAAATTCAATGCCGGATTCAACAACAAACTGTTACTAAAACATGAAGCAGTTCCGACTTTAAAACCAGAGGCAGCAGATGTTGGGCCACAACCTGTAAGTATGTTAAGACTTAATCATTTTAAATGTATTTGCATGTATAATTCCAGACATAGGCCGAATGTTTTAGTTTTTTCAAATGCCAGCGCTGGCTTTATAGCCACTCTAGTTATGCTATTCCGAGTCTACGACAAACGCGTACAAACATTATGGACCTGCATTTTGTATAGGCTTAGTACTAATGTTTTAAACGTATTTTTCATGTATATACTTTGTGACGTTATTTTTCGATTTGATCAAGAACGTAAACCAGTGCCAACACTGTTTGTGTATATAGTAGCCAGTCAGTTCGATGCTTTTTTGTGTAAGACAAACGTGTATAAAGTAAAAAAAAAAATTACCAAACGTTTTGTAAGAGCCATGATTGGGGAGGTTCTGCTTGCCTCTCTTTATCAACGCTTTCTGGGTCTGATTCTGGCATCTGGCTCATACTGATACTGCAGTTCGACACCATTATTTACATTTGACAGGAACAACACATGCACGTTGCGCCCATAAAAGGTAATGGACGTCCGGACAACGTGCACTAAAACACAACACACCGGCCCAAACTAACCAATCTGAGCCCACTGTTTCTGAGGGAGTGTTTTCATAGAATCAGGAAGTCAACCCTTCAAATGACAAAGGAGAAAGCGCCTTACAATAAAGGTGAAATTTATGAAAAATAAGACTTTTTAAAAAAGAAAACCACAAATACATGTTATATTGCATCCCATAAACACAATCATGCAAATAAAAAAGCAATAAACCACCCATTTTTGATGCTGTTGGACAATTTTTTTTATATAATGTGTCTTATTTTTCCATACAAAATTACATAGTAGTTGATCAATCTTTTTACACATTACTCTATCAAGGTCTAATGAGATGGCTGCATATGTCAAACGTGAGATGCCTTCTGCCTTGGAGAGAAGAATCCTTCCTTTCAGAGAAATCTCTCTGAAGCCATTGATGGGCAAAAAGTTTAAATCACATCTGAGTTTGACATTTTTGGAGATTACTATTCCAAGGTAGGTTATTGACTCTTTGACTTGGATATTACATATACTAGAAACAGAGAATTGTTTGATTTGGCCTCATTGAGCAATGATTTTCTAACGACATTGGGAGCTGCATGTTCTAACACGAGCCACACCACACACACTTAAAGTTTGTGTCGCTTGCAAGTGACGTCACTTGCAGAGGAAGCGCTGGTGTCTGAGTGCAAGTGCAAGTTTGCACAAGTCTGCACACAATTTAAGATTTTGAAATGAAAATGACCCTGGACCCCCCTAGAGGTCTAACCACAAAAATACAGTGGGAATCACAGTAGGCTGTATGGTCAACGAAAAAATAAACATTTAATTATCTCATTATGAAAATACATTATCTGGGTTTTATGACCTAGTTTTGAGCCATAGACATATACACTAGACCTCACCTTGGCTACGGTAGTTCATTGGAGCGAATGCGTCAATAGAGCCGCCATCTTGAAACAGGGGAGCCCCTCCACTTTAATGCATCAGCGTCAATGTAGCAGACACAGGTCTAACGGAAAAAAATCACCATAAGTCATCATGAATGCGATTTTTCTTGTTTTTTTTTTTTGTTTGTTCCAACGGTCAGACATGTATTTATCATTGATTCCAGAAAGAATTTTTTTTTTTTTTTAAACACTCTTCCTAGTTCAGATTTCATCCGTGAACATCATACGCTGCACAGAAGTCCGTCACCATCAATGAATTCGAAGTAAAGGCAGAGATAGCAGCGTTACCTAGCTACTTCCTATGACAAGAGCCCTGTTCCAAGATGGCGGCGGTTTTGACGCATGCTTAGAACCCCAAGGTGAGGTCTAGTGTATATATCTATGGTTTTGAGCCAGGAAAACCCCTTAACTTTCTGCAAAAATACCTACAAAAACCCCTGCTTGTAGTCCCAGCCCAACCCAACACTTCATCATATAAACCTTCATCTATTGACTCATCATCCATAACAACATCAAGCTCAGCCGGGAACCTTTGAGTTGTATTTGATGATCAATTGAACATCAGACCACATTGCTAGAACTTTGCACATTCGGTTTTCATTGGCATGTGTCAAATTTGTGACCCGTGTCAGTGGATAGACTTTTAAACTGTTGTATTTTGTGTTTGCTAAACAAGGAAATTGGTTTTTAAATGTCTTTACTGGAGAAGATAGTTGTGATAGAAGGACATGGAGAAGATGGCACTGAATTTCCATTCACACTGCCCTGTCTATTCGGAAGGTCAGTAACACATTTTATAATTGTGGCTGCATAGGGCCATATTTTATTTTTATATATTATATTATTATTATTATTATATATGGGCAAGTGGGCAACTAATGCTGTTAAATGTATAGTGAGGAAAGAGAAAACAAAACCAATGGATAAAGGTTGAGGGAAAATTGCCTTTATAAACCCGCGGTCCTGGAGGATCAAAGGTTCCTGGAGCTAAACTGCGTCCCAAATCGCATACTATCCGTCCTAAATAGTATTCGAAAATAGAATTAGTGCGTCCCAAACCGTAATATGTTGAAATGAGTGCTTCAAAGATACCCGGATGGTCTACTTTTTCCGGTCAGAATCCGAAGTGTAGATCGATGCACACTCTAACGGCAATATTCCCCACAACCTTTGCGCGTTGAAAGAGCTCGGTTAGAACTACAAACACGAGTAAAAAGTGTTAAAAAAAAAAAAAAAAAAACTACAGACACGGAGGAGAGGTTTAGAGAAAGAGGTTTGAGTGATTGATTAACACTATCTGACCTGACGAAAATGAATTTATTCAATGTTCTCCACATTATATTGCATCTGCAGCAGCATTGTGAACTTCTGTAAAGATACGTTTAGCAATATTACTTTTTAAATGCATCATTATATTCAAATTGCAAAACACGAAGAAGTGTACATGAAAGACCCATGACTGACAGATTAACGTGCTCCTCCGATACGGTAGGAAATCGAATTAAAATGGAGGATTTTAACTGTGACAAGATAATTGACAGGGCAGTTTACAGTGACAGGATGCACGCGACAGAGCCGTCCGTTAAAGATGACACCATGTAGTGTGTTCCAAAGCTTGCCTACTCTTTTGCTACACACTCAAAAGTATGTACTTTTTCTTCACAAAGAGTACATACTTTTAGGGCGTAGTATAAGTAAGCGAATTGGGACGTCCTGCAGAGTTTAGCTCCAACCCTGATCAAACACACCTGAACAAGCTAAAGTCTTCAGGATCACTAGAAACTCACAGGTTAGTGTGTTTGATCAGGGTTGGAGCTAAACTCTGCAGTACATCGGCCCTCAAGGACCGAGTTTGAGAAACCCTAAAGGTAAAAAAAAAAAAAAAAAAAAAGACAAAGACAAACATGCTGATTTAAGGATGCTACATAAAATGTTCGTCAAAAAATCAGATTCAGGCATTCAACATCTCTTAGTATAATTAATTGTATTATATTTACAGTTATGTTTTGCAAAATATCTAAGTTTTGTTCTGTTATCTGTATGTAATAGTGGTTTATGACAGTGGACAAGAGTGAATGGTGACAAATTAAACTAAATTGTTTAAAGGAGTAGTTCACTTTAAAAAAAAAAAAAAAAAAAAAAAACTTTTGCTGATAATTTACTCACCCCCATGTCATCCAAATTGTCCATGTCATTATTTCCTCAGTTGAAAAGAAATTAAGGTTTTTGATGAACACATTCCAGGATTTTTCTCCATATAATGTACTTCAATGGGAACCAAACGGTTCAAGGTCCAAAAGGCAGTCTCAGTGCAAACTACAAACAGTTCAAAGGGCGATTCCAGACGATGAATAAGGGTCTCTCTCTTAAGCATGTGGTGCATGTTGCCACATTCCTTTGAGGTCGTAAAAATCTGATATCAGTCTTAAAGTGCTCTGTAACCAGACACCTGGCCAACAAAGTAACTTCATTTACAGTTATTCATTTAGCTGACGCTTTTATCCAAAGCGACTTACAATTGCGACTTACAGAGGTTGCACGCTTCTGGAGCAACTAAGGGTGAAGTGTCTTGCTCAGGGACACATTGGTGTCTCGCAGTGGATTCGAACCCGGGTCTCTCATACCAAAGGCATGTGTCTTATCCACTGTGCCATCACCACCACTTTACTTCATTTGTGAGTTTAGTTTTGGGGGCAGTTTCATAGCTGTTTATATTCATTAAATATAATGAATATGAATAATTAGTGTGTGTCTGATTGGTCCAGACCCTACAGCAGTAACTGTAATAATTTGAAATGTTCTAGACATCAATTAACAAAAACAAAATGTTACCTACAAAAAGGCACTAATGTAAGAAGCAATTATGGTGAGATGCATCTTTGAATATCAACTTAAACCACATTAAAAACAATGCATAGAAATTATATTCAAATCAAAAAGTTGAAATACTTTTGCCATGAATATCCATTGCTGCTGATATGACATTGAATAAATAAATACACCACATGCATCATAGTTTAATATTTCTCATTCACCAAAAATGCAAATGGACAAAGAAGCAGTTTTAATGTGGACTCTTAACCTTTTTAGGAAGCTGGACTGTGATAATCATATTCAGCTGCCGCAGGTGTCAGATGAGCACCGTAAAATAGAGCTGAATGAGAACAACGAGGTAATTATGTTGTGGTATAACACTATAATTTTGACTGCATTGTTTGTTTCCTTAAACTGGCTCTTTCTTTGTATATAAGAACACATGACATGTTGTTTATTTATTGTCTCTCTCTTGTTCAAGCTCATTTTGACCAATTTAAGCTCTGTGAACCCCTCACGTATTAATGGACACGTCATTAATCAATCTGAACAGTTAAAGCATGGTGATCTCATCATTGATCGTTCTTTCAGGTGATTCTGATTTTTATTTTAATTATTTAAAAAAAAAACATGAAAGTTTTCTGGGATAATCCTTGTTCTGAGAATTAGTTTTGTGTGGTTTCATCTTGTCATTGTTAGGTTCGACCCACCTCCCAAGACACTGACAGCTGGACAAGACAAAACAGTTCAGGTGTGTATATTAATATAATATTAATATATTAAAGTCTTGTGAAACATCTGATAGGTATTTTTTGTTAATTCATCATTTGTTAATTTTGTTAATTTTTGGTTCTGTCATCCTATAGGCTTTGCAAGAGCAGCAGGAAAAAAGCACACCCGTTCATCCAGAGAAGAGGAAGTCAGAACATTCATTTGGTCAGTGATCATGACATTAATTTTCTGTAATATTATTTATTTTGCAACATGTTTGCTGTTAGTGTTTTTTCTAGTTTTGCTAATTCTGCTAGAATATAATTGTTATTGTCATGTGTGCTATACTTGCAGACACTTGTTTAAGAGATGGGTCAAATTTACCACCATCTGTGGATCAATCTGTTGAGAATGATCCTTTTTCTGAGCTCTACCAAAGTAGTTCTACCAAAAAAACAGACATTGTTGCGAAATCACCATGGAAATTTGAGCAACCAAAAACACCTCTTGCAAGACCTCATGTTGATCACGAAGAAGCTCCCGCTGCAGATGTTAAATGTAGCCCTGAACCGGTAACACCTCCAGAACTGGATTTCAAGGTTCATGAATGTGCAGCTCTTCCCCAGATCTCATTTCCTGCAGGTCAGGAAGAGAAACCTGCTGGTGAAATGCCGTCTGTAGGGTCCGTCACCTCCTCTTTGACAGAGAAAGGTGTAACTCCTGTCTCCCAGAAGAGGAGAAACCCCTTGAAAACGCCTCAGAAGTTCAGTGCTTGTGAGATTGTCCAGCAAAATCTCTCAGAGCCTCAGCCTGAGGAGAAAACTCCCAAATCCCTGGAAGGAAGGAGAAGTGTTGGATCACAGGATCAGAGCCTTGATCTCCAAATGCCTTTGGGCCAGCCTCAGACTCCAGGCTCAATAGGCAAGAACACTGAAGTGAAAATGTCACCAAGAACATCCATAAGACCAAATGCTGGCAAAAGGTTTCAAGTCCAAGGTGCTCCATATGAGATTAGGGCAATACCTAGTTATAGGATCAAAGGTGAGACAGAGTCTTTCTTCTGTTTTTCTCCTCATGAACACAGCTATTTTTAACACCTTAGAAGTAGAGATGCAAAAGTAATCGCTCACTCATTCTCATTTCTGAATTACAACAATTCACCTCTGTCTATTACACATTTGACAAAATACCAACGGAACATTCAAATTCAAAGGCTGCACCCTTCAAAGACCGGTTGCGTCCCCGCGGAGTGACAAAGGAGGCTATCCCGATTCTAATGCGACTTCAAATGCATCCTTCGTTTCTCGGGCAATAAAGCATACAACTGATGGACCCTTCGCTTGCAAAACTTGTTGTAATATTTTCTTTTTTGAAGGGCTCCAGGTGCGGACAGCTGAATTTATTAAAATGAGGGCTGACCATGACTATTTATTTACCGGGGACAAAAACTCAGCCAGTGAGGCTTGGGGGTAAGGCCTATTTCCACTTGGCTCTCTTGTGTATTATAGTAAATTGTCCTCACCCTATTCAAAGCCCTCAGCGATAAGACAACCAATAGATAAGCCAATAGTCTTTCACTTTGATGTTTTTTTTTTTTTTGTTGTTGTTGTTGTGGTGTCATGCAAGGTATGTTTACAAATGTTTTAACCAAACCTGAGGACTTTTGTATCCATTTCCTGCTGTGTCATATTTTGTAATGTTAAGATTGCACTTATGTCAAGATTGCACCAGTCTTAATGTTTTTCATAAGTGTTTCTCTTGTTTCAGGGAAGTTCTGAAGAAAATGGGCCTGCTGGGGAAGCACACTCCCACAGAGGCCAGAGGAAAATGGAAGTACTTAAAAAAAAAATACAAAGTAAGCAAGTTAATTGGCACGTCTTTGCTGAAATGTATTGTGCTGTTGTTGTTTTTGTTAACCGGCATGGTTTATTTGCTCTGCCGTAGGATTGCATACGTAAGGGAGAGAGTGCTAAAACTTGGCAGTGGTTTGCCCTCATGGATAAGGTGTTGGGAAAGAGACATTCAACCAACCCCCGTTTCCAACTTGCCTCCTCCCCTGAAGACACACCAGACTCAAGTTCAGCAGAAGATGAGGAGGAGCCACGACCACCACCAGCCAAGAGAAAAAGAGGCCATGTCGATGAGCTGATCGAGGTACGGAAGACATCAATTTTCAGGAGAGGTAGAGGAGAGGAGAGGAGAGGTAGAGGGAGAGGAGGAAAGGAAAATTGTATTCATTAATTTGTCTATTTAAACCTGAAAAGAGATTATAAACCAGCAGAATACCTGAGCTGTGTGAAAGAGCATAAAGTAAGAAAAACCCTAACCAGATACAGGCTGAGTGACCACAGTCTGGCCATAGAGAGAGGTGGAGACAGAAGAACACTTCCTCATACACTGTGATCATTATCACAGCATTAGATCAGACTGTTTCTCTAGATTCCAACAACTAGATCCAAATTTTATGGCATTGCCAAATTCTGAAAAATGTATTCATATTTTTGGGAGAAAACTCCAGCTCAATCACAACAGCAGCAAAGTATGTAACAGCCTGCCACAAACTACGAGAGTCAGTCAGTGGACAAAACTAAAGTCAGAATGTTGGTTCAAAACTCTTTTTATTTTTGTGTTTATTTTTATTTTGATATATAAATGTATTCATACATTTGTTTACCAATTCATTTATTGATTATTTGTATGATTGCCTATGATGTAATGGCCAATGCTTTGGCAATACTGTATAGGTCATTCAAAGCTCATTTGAATTTGAGAGGTAGAGGGAGAGGCGAGAGGTAGAGGAAAGGAGAGAGGTAGAGGAGAGGAGAGGAGGTTCTCTTTAGTTGGGGCTCAGCGCTGTCAGCGGTGTTTTCTGTTGCAGCAAGAATGTCGCTCCAGTGCTTTCTTTGTTTTAAGTTTGGCCTCCAGTAGCTCTGTAGTGAACTTTTACACTTATGTCCACTCACAGACAAAATTTCCCTCGATTCGAGACCAGCATCGGACAATCTCTGCACCATAGTGTTGCGAAGGCAGTGATTTGTGTAAACCTTGGAGGTGCCTGCTGCTTTACAAATTCTCGGCAACATAGTTGCGAGGTAGTTCACACCCTTAGGCTCTCTTGTGTACCTGCAACAGTCAAAAACGAGAAAAACCTTTAACACAACAAGGTTTAACACAAATTATAAATAGCTTATATGATTTATGTGCCGCTGCGTGATCTACGTACCAAACATATTTAGAGAGGTTTTTCTTTTGGGGGTGAAGGTAAAAAGCAGGGGGGTTAGATGGCAGAAGAGAAAAGTACTTCTCTAGAGAGGCAACGGGACAAAGCGGGTTCCCAGTTTGTTGGAACATGAAGCCCCGCCTGCTATCCTTATTTCTGTCAGGTGGGTCCTTATGGTTTTTGTGTCTTCATTGAGGCTCATTGTGACATACTTTAGACCATTTTCGTTTGTTAAAGGGTTAGTTCACCCAAAAATGAAAATTAAGTCATTAATTACTCACCCCCATGCTGTTCCAACCCCGTAAGACCTTCGTTCATCTTCGGAACACAAATAAAGATATTTTTTATTGAATTTGAGAGCTAGATCTGTCCTACATAGACTGCCTAAGGGACTGGCTCTTGACGGCCCATAAAGTCATTAAAGAAAAGGTTTAAATATTCCATGTGCCTACAGCGGCTCAACTATAAGTTTATCAAGCGACGAGACTACTTTTTGTGCGGAAAAAACATAAATAACGACTTTATTCCACTATTCTATTACTTCCTTATGGGCGCATGCGCGAGAACTGAGACGAGGACGTTCTCCTTCGACTACTTCTTGTTACCGGCTGCTCACCGCTTAGGAGTTTTACCGCCACCTACCGTATAAGATGATGATCCATATATAAGGCGCTCCGGATTATAAGGAACACTGTCGTTTTTTGAGAAGATTAAAGGCTTTTAAGTGCACCTTATAGTGCGGAAAATATGCTAATTGAAAAGCGTATGTACAGCGCGCATCTTCCTCTGCTTGTAAACAGAAAGTTTTGCGCTTCCAGCTATATCAGCACATCATCTTATACGGTAGGGGGCGGTAAAACTCCTAAGCGGTGAGCAGCCGGTAACATGAAGTAGACGAATGAGAACGTCCTCGTCTCAGTTCTCGCGCATGCGCCCATAAGGAAGTAATGGAATAGTGGAATAAAGTCGTTATTTATGTCTTTTTCGCACAAAAGGTATTCTCGTCGCTTGATAAACTTATAATTGAGCCGCTGTAGGCACATGGAATATTTAAACCTTTTCTTTTAATGACTTTATGGGCCGTCAAGAGGCAGTCCCTCAGGCTGTCTATGGAGGACTGATCCAGCTCTCAGATTCAATCAAAAATATCTTTATTTGTGTTCCGAAGATGAACGAAGGTCTTACGGGGTTGGTACAGCATGGGGGTGAGTAATTAATGACTTAATTTTCATTTTTGGGTGAACTAACCCTTTAAAATGCGGAATGAGTCTGGAATGAGTTCTCAGTTCCCCTCTTTTCCTCTACGTCCAAAGTGTAACTGCACGTCAAACCAGACTTTGTTACGAGTCCTTCAGGTGTGTTGGGATTTAAGCGCATCGGACAGTTTTATGGTGCTTTATGGTGTTTTATCGTCAATAAAGCACAGCTATTGAACAGTCAGAATCAAGGATTGGAACTAACCGTTTCATACATGTCAATAAAAATCAATAATGTATCATATTTTTAAAATGAAAACAAAAAGATCATGTTCATTTTGTTATAAATATATCTGCAGTGAAGATAATCAATGCATGGCCTTTAGGCTAATTTGTTTATGATTTGTTTAAATGAAAAGAGGCAAAGTGCTGTTTTATAACATATTTTGTTTTATTGTTGACGAAAATAGAGTTGTAGCATATCGTTTTATTGTTGCCTACTACAATATAAAGAGATAACAGGAGTAATCCCAGACATTTTGAGCGATCTCGAAACACATTTTCGGACAGACTCATCACGGAGACTCACTAGTAGCCTAGAATTGTTTAACTACTGCGCTCTGTTACCGGTAGGCGTGGCCTCCTAGGGAAATGAAGCAAGTGCATTCTGGGAGTTGTTGTCTTTCATCCACATAAAAATACATTTTCTGGCTTTTCTCAGTCTAGAAAGCTCCAAATTCAAAAATAAGTTCACAATTCTTCTACAGAAATGACCCATTTTAAATACACATTCATCTTTCCAGAGGTGAAGTATCCCTTTAGTTACAGCCACTGATTTGGCAGTGACTTATCGTATGACGCGGTTCGAGCAATGAGCCAACATCCATTGAGTTTGTTTGTTTGTTTGTTTTAATTATATAGGTTACTTGTCATTTAACATGCTAACATCACGTGACAGACATGAAAGACAATTGGTATTATTTCTGTCAAAGGAAAGAATTATTATTATTAATGTCAAAGGATGGAATTATGATTATTGTAAGTAGTATACTTATATATATATATAATTTACGATTTATTTATTTTTTTCATTAATTTTCTGATTTGTCCCCCACAGATATCAGATGAGAGCACACAGTCCCCGACCCAAACCCAGGCCAACACCCCACAGCCCGGATCTCCTGACTCCCCTTATGTGCCATCACTCTTCACACCTAAAACTTCTCGCCGCACTCTCGCTTTAGAGAGAACGGCTGAGGAAGATCAGCCATGTGTCCTGAACGGCATTAATAGCAAGCCAGATGAGGTAGAGCATTTTCTTTTAAGTTTAGCTGGGCCATTGAGACACCTTCCTCCACGCTCTCGATCCGAGGTTAAAATCAAATTTCAACAGATTTTACATGAAGCAGAATTTAACAATCAGGAAAACAGTATCAGGCATACATAAACAAACACACACACACACACACACACACACACACACACACACACACATTCACTTTCAAATAGACAAAACAAATGAATACATATGTAACAATCAACTTTATTTTTAGGGGCCAAGCACCGAAGGTGCAGAGACACTTTTTGAAATCGTTGGCGTTCTTATTAATATTCTTCTTCCATTTCTTCTTCTTCTTTCGCTCTGGAAGTCTATGGCAGCACATAGAACCGTTTGCGGGAAAGTTATGAAGTCTGTCTGAACTGTCACTATAGCAAATTTGGAGTCTCTAACTCAATCCCTCTAGCACCTCAAACTTTCCAAATTTTCACTCATGTTTATGCTTATAACTTTTGAACCGTAAGGGCTAGAAAACCAAAACTTTCCCCAATGATTCCATGACTCAAGTCGATTTGATTGTAAAATTTGCCCGCCATTTTGAATTCAAAGAAGAAAAAAAACTTTTTCGAACTCCAACTATGCTGTTGCTCCGATTTTTGAACAAAAATTTAAATAGACCAAAGAGCTGTTGAAGGACACCAGGAAGAAAATTGCAGCTGCACCAGGCTGGGAAGAGTGGATCTACAATAGGCGAGCAGCTTGGTGTGAAAAAATCAACTGTGGGAGTTATTGTAAGAAAATGGAAGACATACAAGACCACTGATAATCTCCCTCGATCTGGGGCTCCACGCAAGATCTCATCTTGTGGGGTCAAAAATTATCATGAGAACGGTGAGCAAAAATCCCAGAACTACACGCAGGGGATGCTGGGACCTGCAGAGAGCTGGGACCAAAGTAACAAAGGCTACCGTAAGTAACACACTACACCGAGAGGGACTCTAATCCTGCAGTGCCAGGCGTGTCCCCCTGCTTAAGCCAATACATGTCCAGGTCCGTCTAAAGTTTTCCAGAGAGCATATGGATGACTCGTTGTGTTTGGAGGAAGAAGAATGCAGAGTTGCATCCCAAGAACACTATACCTACTGTGAAGCATGGGGGAGGAAACATCATGCTTTGGGCTGTTTTTTCTGCAAAGGGGACAGGAAAACTGATCTGTGTTGAGGGAAGAATGAACAGGGCCATGTATCGTGAGATTTTAAGCCAAAACCTCCTTCCATCAGTGAGAGCCTTGAAGATGAAACGTGGCTGGATCTTCCAGCATGACAATGATCCCAAACACACCGCCCCGGCAACGAAGGAGTGACTCCGCAAAAAGAATTTCAAGGTCCTGGAGTGGCCTAGCCAGTCTCCAAACCTCAACCCCATAGAAATTTTTTGGAGGTAGTTGTTACCCAGCGACAGCCCCGAAACATCACTGCTCTAGAGGAGATCTGAATGAAGGGATGGGCCAAAATACCAGCTACAGTGTGTGCAAACCTGGTGAAGACTTACAGGAAACGTTTCAGGAAATGTTACAAAGTACTGAGTTGAACTTTTGTTATTGACCAAATACTTATTTTCCACCATAATTTACAAATACATTCTTTAAAAATCCTACAATGTGATTTCCTGGATTTTCTTAGTTAAAGTGTACCTTGAAAATTACAGACCTCTCTCATTATTCTAAGTAGGACTTGCACAATCAGTGGCTGACTAAATACTTGTTGGCCCCACTGTATATGGTGCCTCTTGTTGGCGAAACATGTATAATAGAACAAAACATTAAATTGTCATTGATTTCAATACAGTATTGTGATATAAAATATTATACTTAATGAATGAATTGGTGTAACATTATGAAACTCAGTATGTGCCATCAGCACCATTGCCTGAAGGTACACAAAAGATTTTGAGACAGTGCCTTTGGTAAAAAGTTGTAATGAAATTTCCAAAAATGCTAATAAATTTGGAATAAGTTAGCCTATTGCAATGAAACTGGAATCTCTTGGGTTACGTTTCAGTTTGCCATATTTGGCCGCACTTCCTGTCTGCCATCTTGATTTTTGTTCAATTCCTACTTTTTCAAACTCCTAGACCGTTTGTCCGATTTTCACCAAAATTTTATCATATCAGCTCCAGACCATGCCGACAAAATGGATTTCTTGGCAATTAGATGTTACCGTTTTCCTATATCGCAGAGACAAAATAAACGCATGATGCAAAAATTACTCTGAAGCTATATCTCTGCAATTCTTTGAAATATTGACACCAAACTTTGTATGTTTTGTTGTCCTAGCATTCTGACCATACCACTTCAATTTCGTAACAGCGCCACCTTTTTGTTGAAAGTGATAAACCATTAAATCATAATATAACTGACTGTATATATTATTATTTAGCTATTTTGCCTTACAATCTTACAATGTCGTCAATTGCTCCTTGCTGTAGTTGGTCACTCCCAGGCATGTTGGCATGTCTTATTGTCGTTTTGCGTTCGGCCCTGACAATTGCTGCTTGCAGTGATATTTTATAATTCATTTTGTATATGACATGAAAATTCATCATTAAAGTATATATTAAAAGCATTCATTTTCCCCAGTCATTTATTGTCCTTGTTTGATTAAGATAAATATTCTCTGTCATGGCATTTATATTTATAAACCACACGTATAAACTGTTCATAGCATGTACATAGCTTGTAAAATATTTACATTCTTGCTAAAGCTCTCCTGGATGGATGCAATTGCATTTCGTTGCTTGTAGCCTATAGGCAAAGAATAATAATATATCATTCTAATAATAAATGTCTAATATTATATAATTAATATAACAGCAAAGCTAATGATCTTTAAGGATACAAAGGAATTATCAGGTCTATACAATTTAAAACCAAACAAATAATAATAAAAAAACAACCTTTAAGATGAAGGAAAAAAAATGTTTTATTTTAAATGTCAATTTACATTAATGTGTACAATTACACAATATACAAATATTACAACATAAAGGAAACCCTTTATACCCCTTCCATATTTAGAAACAAAAAAGGGACACATTGGCACATTATGTACCGTACTTTCCTTTGCTGCAGTTTGACAAGACAACTTTTATTTTAATGCAAGGGCGTAGGTTTGGTTTTGAGATTGGTGGGGACATTCCCAGAAGCTGATCATCCTAGCTCCTCCCCCTCCTGCTGCTGCTGCATATTCAACAGAGAGGAAGAAACGGGTTTCTTTTACATAGCATTTTCGAGTCATGAATATTGAATCATGTTTAATTTGGACTTTTCTCTGCATGCTTCTTGAGGTGGACACCATAGATCTCCATTATATGACTGATAGAAAACAACGGTTTGACCTAAAAATATAAAAATTGAAATTATACTGCGGAAGCAAACTAAAGACACCTACATCGTGGATGCCCTCGAGGTAAGCTGAAACATACCAACAATTAATTTCAAAGTGAACTATCCCATTAACAACTGAGACAGTCAGCGAGCAGGAAAGAAAAAAATTATGAAAAATGAATTAAACAAGACTTTAGGGATTTTTCAGAAAGAAGTCAGTGGGTAAGAATTCAGTGTTTTTACCCTTAAAGTCTGAAGATAGATCATCATCTGGCTGGCTTTCACTCTAGCCCTATTTATTTAACTAGTTTTACCAAGGCTAACGTTAGCACTTGTACTGGCATTTTCTAGTACAGGGGCCTGTTTCAGAAAGGAGGTTAAGTGAAAACTCTTAGTAATTTTAACCCTGAAATGAGGGAAACGCTGGGTTTTCCGTTTCAGAAAGGGGGGTATTTGATATCAAAAATATCAAACCCAAGAAAGCAGAGTAAGTCAAGCCCGTTTCTGGAAGAGAGGTAACTTATACTCAGAGTCAGTTACCATGGTAACTTACTCTGTGAACCTAACCTGGTAATACTAAAATGTAATTGTAGCTTTTTTTTGTAATACTAAAATGTAAATGTAACTAAAATGTAACCTGGTAATACTTAAATGTATTTACACAGTCTTTAAGGATATATATATATATATATATATATATACAGGGGTTGGACAATGAAACTGAAACACTAGCCAATGTTGGAGGTTTCACATCTATATGCCTGGCGGCCAATCTTCAGAGTGAAGCACGGGTGGATCAGTGATGGTTTGAGCTCCAATATCATGACAATCCTGATTGTATTTGATGGACACGACACTGCCGAGGACTACCAAACCCTTCTGGAGGATCATGAGCACCTGATGCTCAAACCGTGTATCAGCATGATCATGCACCAACACACACAGCAAGACTTGTGACAGAAGTGTTTGATGAAGATGAAAGTGACGTTGAACATCTCCCATGGTCTGACAGTCACCAGATCTGAATATTATTGAGGTGTTTTGGAGGAGCGAGTCCACCAGCATCATATAGTGACCTGGACACTGTTCTGGAAGAGGAACGGCTCATAATCCCTCTGGTCACTGTGAAGGACTTCTATCTGTCAATTGGTGCTGTATTTGGATGCAAAATGAGGCCCTCACCATTCTAACAAATTATTGTGTAGTAAAACCAGGTGTTTCAGTTTTTTTGTCCAACCCCTGTAGATATATATATATTGTTTGTCCATGGTTTAATTGACTAAATCTGTTTTGCAGCACTTTGCCCAAAAATAAAAGGATTAAAACGTTTGCTGAACTTTTATTTGATTACCACCGTTTTTGATAATATTTCTATTAAATTGTTAAAAAAAATTGGAATAAAAAACATAAAATAGAACTCAATTATTTTTCAAACATAATTTAATAAGTTATTAATGATAAAAAATAAGATGTTAATCGTATTCATAATCAATTATTGAAGTTAGTTGATTACATATGTTTTATTGAACAAATGTTTAATTTATTTAACTGTCATTTTAACTGATGATAATAATAACTATAATTTAATAATGCAGTTTATATCTTTAATAATTGTTTAATACCATAAACCGAGATATTATCTGAGACAGTTCTCATACTGTGAAACTCTCATACGTTACAACCTTTCTTTTACTGTCTATGTTTACAACCCCACATGGGGGAGTCCCCCACCCCACCCCTATACTGTTAAACAAGTTACTCAGCAAATTTTACTCATGTTTTAAATTAACTACTTTTTACTTGAGTAGATTTTTAGACTGGTATTTTTACTTTTAATTAAGTAAAAATGTATCAAAGTTATAGTAGCCTACTTTAGGTTGAATAACATTCTTCCAGTTTTAACTCTCGATATTATAACAGTAAGTTACTTTAAAGTAGTTATGAATTATTAACTACAAATGACATCTTCAACTGTGTAGTTAGATTAATCTTCCAGTTTCTAGAGATAATTACTATCTCTAGAAAGTATTGGTCTACATATTACTAATTGCTAAATCCCATATAGACAACCTCAACCACTTGAACAATACAAGAAGGAGAAAAAAGTTAACAATATACAAATTAACAATATACAATTGCATGAATTATTCTTGAATTGATCAAAGTGTGTAGAGGGAGAAGGTAAATGTACCTTTTAAAAATGTATGTTAAATCCACTATTGTTTTATACTGAATTGGTCTATAGTTTATGCAGTAGCCTATTTAATGTAATTGCATCATATTTTATTTTAAATTACAGAAGAATTAAGAGTAATCCCTTTAATTAAATTACAATATTTAGATTACTTGGTAATTAATTACACCCAACACCTCTTTTTGTCTGGCGCTGTTGCCATGGTGACTCATAATATCTGCGCTCCATTGATAATGTCTTTTTTTTATAGTTGTGGCTTTTAATAGTTGTGTTTAAGGGACAGGCAGCTAGCGGATAGTGAAGACAAGGAAATGTTTGCTGTATGTGACAAAAAATGTTTTGGCCTAAAAAACGTGTGACATCGCTTAGAGCACTGTTAAACAGTGTGTAAATCAAAAAATATGATCAAAGGGGACCACCTGTCCTGTATTTGGTGAAGCTGTGTGAAGCTTTGTTGTCCCGCGTCATAAGCAGTGTGCAGCATTTTAATTTTGTCTGTATCATTTTATCGTCCTTTAAATTACAATTCTAATGTTGCCTTTCTTAATGAAACGTACCAACATTCAAGTGTTGCTAAAAAATAATACATGGAGCTAATGAAATTACTTTAAAATTAAAGTAAGGTATTTTTTAATAAAAAATAATATCTACATTTGAACATAGTATTATACTGCATATGCAAAAAACAAACAAAAAAACATAAATAAAGAACAAGATACGTTTATGTTCACTAAAAGAAAACTTAAAAGTATAAACTACTAAACTATAGTTTACTGAGAGTACACTTCAGTGTGTACTTTCTTAAACTAATACATGTGTGTGTGTGTGTGTGTGTGTGTGTGTGTGTGTGGAGAGAGAGAGAGAGAGTGTATGTGTGTGTGCATAATGTTAAAGATATATTTTGACTGAAAGTAAATTGTTACTGTAATAAAAAAAAAAAACTCTTTGAGTGATCCCTGTATTTACATACAATCATCTGGGCTAAGCCCTGGATGTCCTTCAATGCTGGAAACAATGCTGGAATAAAATAATACATTTAATTATCTCATTATTAAAATACTTTATCCGGGTTTTATGACCTCGTTTTGAGGCAGGAAAACCCCTGAAATCTCTACAAAAAATACCTACAAAACCCCCTGCTTGTAGTCCCAGCCCAACCCAACACTTCATCACAATATTAACCTTCATCTATTGACTCATCATCCATAACAACATCAAGCTCAGCCGGGAACCTTTGAGTTGTATTTGATGATCAATTGAACATCAGACCACATTGCTAGAACTTTGCACATTCGGTTTTCATTGGCATGTGTCAAATTTGTGACCCGTGTCAGTGGATAGACTTTTAAACTGTTGTATTTTGTGTTTGCTAAACAAGGAAATTGGTTTTAAAATGTCTTTGCTGGAGAAGATAGAAGGACATGGAGAAGATGGCACTGAATTTCCATTCACAGCGCCCTGTCTGTTCGGAAGGTAAGTAACACATTTTATAATTATGGCTGCATAGGACCATGTTATATATAATATATGTATTTGTATAAATTATATTATTATTATATATATGGGCAGGTGGGCAACTGTAATGCTTTTAATGTAGCTACAGTGGGGAACGAGAAAAAACAAAACAATGGATAAAAGTTGAGGGATAACATGGGGCGCCGTTTGTAAAGCGGTTCTCGCTGAAAATAACAGCAACATTTTGTCACGTTTAGCTTTACCCTATGTTTAAAAAACTGGTATGAATTTTTGACAGTCACTTTTTAGCACATTTACATCAATATTTGTCAACTTAGAGATATTTTAAATAGTGAAATCTAAATATTAAATGTTACACCTAAATGTTAAATCTAAATGTTGAATCTAAATCTGAATGTTAAATCTAAATGTTGAATATTTAGTTTCGGGTGAAACAAAATATTTAGCTAATATGCTAATTGAAAATGCTGGTAACTGGAAGTGCCAAAATAAAAGCTTGAGGAGGTGTTTATAGTGTCAAATAACGAAATAAAAAACATCTCATCCGGGGAAATGGACTCTTGGACATGGATTATCTAAAATAATAAACACGTTTGGAGAAACTGTATTTGAAGAGTAGGCTACTTTGTGGTGTCACTTTTATGAAAGGTGCGGGACTTATGACTTGTAGCCATAACAGCCAGCCGCAAAGGGGCTCAAAAAGGCCAGCAGAGCCTTTCCTCACACGGCCCTGACCAGGTACGGTACTGTCGCTCATGCTTGGCAAAAATGTCAAACAAATTATTATTTTAGATACTTATTATCGCGATAATCCATGTCCAAGAGATTGTTCTTATTCATTATTTGACGCATACTGACCTCCTTCAAGCTTTTATTTTGGCACTTCCGGTTACCAGCATTTTCAATTAGCATATTAGCTAAATATTTAGTTTCACCTGAAACATTTAGATTTAACATTTAGATTTAGATTTTAAGTTGGCGTGAAACGAAAGTTGAGATTGAGTCGCCAGCTGAGGAAAGTGAGTCGCTCGCTCCGTGAGGAAAGTAATGCTGCGTTCCAGGCAGGTTTTTGAGCACGTAAATCACGACTTCAAACCACGACTTACGACTTTGTACCATTCCAGGTCATTCACGCCAAACTACCTAACGTTAGATGTAAACAAACCAGCATGGCGGACCTTGTTTATTTGTGGGAAACTGGGGAGGAAAAATAACGCATGAGGCAAGATAAGCTGTTATACTCTTTATTTTACTTTATTTATATATTTATCCTTGCACTCAATGGACTGAAAACTAGTTAACGTTATATTGTCCTAAAGTGTATTCTCACGGTGTACCGCCTGCAGAAACACTGCATCAGTAGGGGCTGTCATTGGTTCGCGGGCTAGCTATGTGTCTCGCGGGAGGATCGCACTCCATTTTTTTCTTTTGCCGAAAGTGCCCATGTTCTCAGGCTTGTTTCATACGTGTGCCCTGTGACAGACATGTTATGTGTGCTGTGTTTCCATAAGGCTAGTCATTATTTTAGTCTTTTTTTTTCTTGTTATGAATTGTATCCTATTTTCCGTTATTACAGTTAAATATGCGAAGTGATATGCAACTGTAATGCGGTCAAGACCTGCCGGGAACTACTTTAGCCATGTGTTTCCCTGAAAATAATAATTTGCACAACTTAGAACGTTCGTCAAACAATCAGATTCAAGCATTCATCATCTCTCATTCATTTTATTATTACAGTTATGTTTTGTAAAATATTCACTTATCTAAAATTTGTTCTGTTATGTAAAAGTGGTTTATGAAAGTGGACAGTGAAAAGGTGACAAATTAAACTAAATTGTTTAAATATGCATGTTTAATGTGTAGAATTCATAAAAGAAATCTTGAGCAACAAATTAATAATGTACATGATTATATGGTGCATACTATAACTTTCGTCTGCTGTAACTGCAATTATTTGAAAAGTCAATGAACAAAAACAAAATGTTACCTGCAAAAAGGCACTAATGCAAGGAACTATTGATAGAATTATATTTTAATCTATGTAAATAATTTATGGTATCTATAACTTACACCACATTATGCATAGAAATTATATTCTAATCAAAAGGTTGAAATACTGTTGATTTTTGCCATGAATATCCATTGCTGCTGATATGGCATTGAATAAATAAATACACCACATGCATCATAGTTTAATATTTCTCATTCACCAAAAATGCAAATGGACAAAGTAGCAGTTTTAATGTGGACTCTTAACCTTTTTAGGAAGCTGGACTGTGATAATCATATTCAGCTGCCGCAGGTGTCAGTGGAGCACCGTAAAATAGAGCTGAATGAGAACAACGAGGTAATTATGTTGTGGTATAACACTATAAGTTTGACTTCATCTTTTGTTTCCTTAAACTGGCTCTTTCTTTGCATATAAGAACACATAACATGATGTTTATTTATTGTCTCTCTCTTGTTCAAGCTCATTTTGACCAATTTAAGCTCTGTGAACCCCACACGTATTAATGGACACGTTATTAATCAATCTGAACAGTTAAAGCATGGTGATCTCATCACAATCATTGATCGTGCTTTCAGGTGATTCTGATTTTTATTTTAATTATTTAAAAAAAAAACATGAAAGTTTTCTGGGATAATCCTTGTTCTGAGAATAATTAGTTTTGTGTGGTTTCATCTTGTCATTGTTAGGTTCGACCCATCTCCCAAGACACTGACAGCTGGACAAGACAAAACAGTTCAGGTGTGTATATTAATGTATAAATATATTAAAGTCTTGTGAAACATATGATGGGTATTTTTTGTTAATTTATCATTTGTTAATTTTGTTAATTTTTGGTTCTGTCATCCTATAGGCTTTGCAAGAGCAGCAGGAAAAAAGCACACCCGTTCATCCAGAGAAGAGGAAGTCGTTGCATTCATTTGGTCAGTGATCATGACGTTTATTTTCTGTAATATTCTATAAATTTATTTTTTGCAACATGTTTGCTGTTAATGTTTTTTCTAGTTTTGCTAATTCTGCTAGAATATAATTTCATATCATGTGTGCTATACTTGCAGACACTTGTTTAAGAGATGGGTCAAATTTACCACCATCTGTGGATCAATCTGTTGAGAATGATCCTTTTTCTGAGCTCTACCAAATTAGCTCTACCAAAAAAACGGACATTGTTGCGAAATCACCATGGAAATCTGAGCTACCGATGACACCTCTTGCAAGACCTCAGGTTGATCACGAGGAAGCTCCCGCTGCAGATGTTAAATATAGCCCTGAACCGGTAACACCTCCAGAACCGGATATCGAGGTTATTTTATCCTGGTTAGATGAATGTTTTACTGGACCAGCTCTCCCCCAGAGCTTATTTCCTGCAAATCAGGAAGAGAAACCTGCTGATTATATGCCGTCTGTAGGGTCCGTCACCCCCTCATTGACAGAGAAAGGTGTAACTCCTGTCTCCCAGAAGAAGAGAACACCCTTGAAAACGCCTCAGAAGTTCAGTGCTGGTGAGGTTGTCCAGCAAATTCTCTCAGAGCCTCAGTCTGAGGAGAAAACTCCCAAATCCCCAGAAGGAAGGAGAAGTGTTGGATCACAGGATCAGAGCCTTGATCTCCAAATGCCTTTTGACGAGCCTCAGACTCCAGGCCCAATAGGCAAGAACACTGAAGTGAAAATGTCACCAAGAACATCCCCGAGATCAAATGCTAGCAAAAGGTTTGAAGTCCAGGATGCTCCGCATGAGATTAAGGCTACAACATCAAGTCCTAAGAATGGCAATGGTAAGACCATAGCTTCACAAACATAGCGTATTTTCAACCACACACAGTATCGTTGTTTCTGTGTTGCAACTATTAAAATGATCACAGAAGTACTGGGATAAAAGTTTATAGTTTGGATATAAACACTGATGTCTAGCGATCATAAGAGCAATTCACCTTTTGTAAAAAAAACTTGTTGCTTAAAACATCTATTGTATCGATTACATTGTTATGCACTAGTTGGTGACAAGTGACTGTTTATAACATGAGCTTTGTCCCAATTTGGTGGCTGCGTCCTCTGGAAAGCCATTTAAAGTGTGATTGCGTCACATCGGCTCGACGAAGGCTGTCCCAATTCAAAGGCTGCACCCTTCAAAGGCTGATTGCGTCACCGCAGAGTGACAAAGGCTAACCCGATTCTAATGCGACTTCAAATGCACCCTTAGTTTCTCAGGCAATGAAGCATACAACTGATGAACCATTCGCTTGCAAAACTTGTTGTAATATTTTCTTTTGTTTTAGAGCTCCAGGTGCGGACAGCTGAATTTATTAAAATGAGGGCTGAACACAGCCATTTATTTACCGGGGACAAAAACTTAGCCAATAAGGCTTGGGGGTAAGGCCTATTTCCACTAGGCTCTCTTGTGTATTATAGTAAATAGTCCTCATCCTATTCAAAGCCCTCAGCGATAAGACAACCAGTAGATAAGGCAATAGTCTTTCACTTTGTTGTTTTTTTTTGTAGTGCTTTCATGCAAGGTATGTTTACAAATGTTTTAACCAAACCTGAGGACTTTTGTAGGCATGTTTTATAATGTTAAGATTGTGCTGTACTGTTTTTCATTAGTGTTTCCCTTTTCTCTTGTTTTAGGGTTGTTCTGAGGAAAATGTGCCTGCAGGGGAAGTACACTCCCAGAAAAGCGGCACGAAAATGGGACTACTTAAAAACCCAATACGAAGTAAGCAAGTTAATTGGCCCATCTTTGCTGAAATGTATTGTGCTGTTGTTGTTTTTGTTAACGCAGGCATGGTTTATTTGCTTTGGCGTAGGATTGCATACGTAAGGGAAAGAGAGCTAAACCTTGGCAGTGGTTTGCCCTCATGGATAAGGTGTTCCATTTCGAACTTGCCTCCTCCCCTAAGCACACACCAGACTCAAGTTCAGCGGTGCATGGCGAAGATGAGGAGGAGCCACGACCACCACCAGCCAAGAGAAAAAGAGGCCATGTCGATGAGCTGGTCAAGGTACGGAAGACACCAATTTTCTACGAGAGGAGAGGTAGAGGAGAGGAGAGGTAGAGGAAAGGTAGAGGAAAGGAGAGGTAGAGGAAAGGGAGAGGAGAGGTAGAGGAGAGTAGAGGAGAGGAAGGTAGAGGAGAGGTAGAGGAGAGGAGAGGAAGGTAGAGGAGAGGAGAGGGAGAGGAGAGGAGAGGTAGAGGAGAGGAGAGGTAGAGGAGAGGAGAGGTAGAGGAGAGGAGAGGTAGAGGAGAGGAGAGGAAGGTAGAGGAGAGGAGAGGAAGGTAGAGGAGAGGAGAGGAAGGTAGAGGAGAGGAGATGTAGAGGAGAGGAGAGGTAGAGGAGAGGTAGAGGACAGGAGAGGTAGAGGAGGTGTTCTGCGCTATTCATGGTGTCTGAGATTTTCAGTGACACTGGGCAGACCTTACGTGAATACTCACGAGTTTCCTGTTTCATGTTAAAGCGCCACTAAAAATATCCTAAAATACTGGAAATGTCTCTCCTCGTCCAGGCTTCACATGAGCACCAGAGACACAAACTCCCCATCCTGATCTCTTTTATGATTTAAAGGGCGAACATACCACCGCCTATCTCTGTGCTCTCTTTGTTGCCGCCTAAGTAAAATCAGCAATGTGCACTTCTCTTCAGTTGCCATTTTAATCTGAATATGACGTGACCCGATTCTACTACTGCTACTACTATCACCCTGAATAAAAAATCTACTACCCCCTGTTGCGTGACCGTTGTATTGCATTTTACATTTTTCTCAGAGCCCTCTTCTCCGCTGGTTCCGTCCAGCCCTCCCGAACCTGAACTCTCCACTCCGCTGGTTCCGTCCAGCCCTCCCGAACCTGAACTCTCCACTCCGCTGGTTCTGTCCAGCCCTCCCGAACCTGAACTCTCCACTCCGCTGGTTCCGTCCAGCCCTCCCGAGCCTGAACTCTCCACTCCGCTGGTTCCGTCCAGCCCTCCCGAACCTGAACTCTCCACTCCGCTGGTTCTGTCCAGCCCTCCCGAGCCTGAACTCTCCACTCCGCTGGTTCCGTCCAGCCCTCCCGAACCTGAACTCTCCACTCCGCTGGTTCTGTCCAGACCTCCCGAACCTGAACTCTCCACTCCGCTGGTTCTGTCCAGCCCTCCCGAACCTGAACTCTCCACTCCGCTGGTTCCGTCCAGCCCTCCCGAGCCTGAACTCTCCACTCCGCTGGTTCCGTCCAGCCCTCCCCAACCTGAACTCTCCACTCCGCTGGTTCCGTCCAGCCCTCCCGAGCCTGAACTCTCCACTCCGCTGGTTCCGTCCAGCCCTCCCGAACCTGAACTCTCCACTCCGCTGGTTCCGTCCAGCCCTCCCGAACCTGAACTCTCCACTCCGCTGGTTCCGTCCAGCCCTCCCGAACCTGAACTCCCCTCACCGCTGGTTCCGTCAAGCCCTCCCATGCCTGAACTCTTCTTATCACTGGTTATGTCCAGCCCCATCCAGCCAGCGCCAGAGACCGTCCAGCCAGCGCCAGAGACCATCCAGCCAGCGCCAGTGACCGTCCAGCCAGCGCCGGAGACCGTCCAGCGCGAGACCGTCCAGCCAGCGCCGGTGACCGTCCAGCCAGCGCCGATGACCGTCCAGCCCGAGACCATCCAGTCCCCGTCTGCCCCTAATCCGGGGACTCCGCCCAAATATTTTTTTTGGGGGGGCCCAGTGTCCCAGCCACGGCCGCCCGAAGGGTCCTCACCGCCGCGGCCGCACCCGAAGGGTCCTTAACGCTGCGGCCGCCCGAAGGGTCCTTAACGCTGCGGCCGCCCGAAGGGTCCTCACCGCCGCGGCCGCACCCGAAGGGTCCTCACCGCCGCGGCCGCCCGAAGGGTCCTTAACGCTGCGGCCGCCCGAAGGGTCCTCACCGCCGCGGCCGCCCGAAGGGTCCTCACATCCTGCTCCGCCCTGGCCACGCCCTCATCCTGCTCCGCCCTAGCCACGCCCTCATCCTGCTCCGCCTTGGCCACGCCCTCATCATGCTCCGCCCTGGCCACGCCCTCATCCTGCTCCGCCCTGGGGGGCTTCCTTCTCCAGACCACGCCCTCCACAGCCTCCAGGGCGCCCACCCCCCCTCCCCAGTGATGTTACGGTGTGAGGTCACGCCTACCGGGAGGGGGGAGTGATGTCACAGTCTGTCGTCTGCACCAGTCTGTCTCGTCATCTGCACTACACTTCCCAGGATCCTCTTGTCTCCACTCCCGAATTCACTCCCTCATCAGCCACCTGTTCCTCGTCTGTTCATCATTTGATTCCCCTGTGCATTTAGTTCCCTCAGTTTCCTTCAGTCTTTGTCGATCGTTGAACTTATGTTACCGTGTTTTGAGTGTATTGCTGTCGGTTTTGTTCCATTGGATGTTGAAAGTTTAAGTAAAGCGTTTGAATTGGAGCTTTGCATCTTGAGTCTGTCTTCCTCAGCCTACACTCCACCACACCCCGTGACAATAACAGTGCACAGCTCTGAGAACAGATTTTAACATCTGATGTAAATAGACCATTTTGCTAGATGCCATTTAACACTGGTCCAGAAACACTTCCTGTTTCAGTTTGTAACTGTTTTCTTTATTTCACATGTAAAGAAAACATCTTAAAGTTGTTGTTTAACTTGTTGGTTGTATTTTATCCCAGCTTTTGTGTAGTGTTAAAAAACTGAAACAGGAAGTGCTTCTGGACCCGTGTTGTTTACATCTTGCAAAATGGTCTATAGATTTAGCTAGCTATAGGGTAACTGACATCGTGTCCTTGTATGTTGCCTTGCATAAAACAAAATGATTTACAGCAGTCATGATTTTATGGATTAAATAAAACGTACACAAATCTGTATTTCGCTAAAGAAATGCACCAAATCGGCGGCGCTGAGAACTCTCCAGAGGAGGATGCAAATGCCTGCGCTCTTGCGTCACCAAATCACTGTCAAGTCACCTTTATTTATATAGCGCTTTTTACAATACAAATTGTTTCAAAGCAGCTTCACAATAGATAACAGGAAAACAATGTTGAAATAGTATTGTTAAATTCAAAATTAAATGTTAAATGTCCCCAACTAAGCAAGCCAAAAGCCAATGGCGACAAAGGCGAAGAGAGGCGAATATGGCAACAGTGGCAAGGAACCAAAACTCCATCAGGTGACAGAATGGAGAAAAAAAACCTTGGGAGAACCCAGGCTCAGTGTATGTGGCTACCGCGATATTGACGGAACCTGAATGGTGCAAAATAAGTTTAAAATGTATAAGAACTGAGTATGTTTTTCTAATGAAATAAAAAGTTTGCTTATTTGCAAATCATAGCCTATAGGTAAATGTCTGCACTTATCTTTCTTATTAGTGTTGAAGAATGACAAACTGACTACTGTGTATGACTGTTAATTAGTAGTTACTTCATAGTTGTTTTCTTGAACCTTAATTAATAGATAATTAATAGTAGTTCTTCGGGAGGTATGACAGAATTCATTAGCTATTGATTAACTAACTGATACTTAACACAATCATAAAATTATATTACATACTGATTAGTTAACACATCTTCCTTAGTAGTTAACAGTAGTGACTTAAGTGTTAATAAAGAATTACCTATTAGTTCTTCATTAATTCCTTATTAGTTATGCAGTAAGTAGGATACAGTATTCTAAAGTGTTACCAATCATTGTTATTAAATTATTAATGTCAAAGGATTGAATTATGATTATTGTATGTATACTTACTATATATATATATATATATATATATATATTACAACATCGTGTCCTTGTATGTTGCCTTCTATAATATATAATTATATATATATATATATATATATATATATATATAATTTCTTCTTTTTTTTAATTAATTTTCTGATTTGTCCCCCACAGATATCAGATGAGAGCACACAGTCCCCGACCCAAACCCAGGCCAACACCCCACAGCCCGGATCTCCTGACTCCCCTTATGTGCCATCACTCTTCACACCTAAAACTTCTCGCCGCACTCTCGCTTTAGAGAGAACGGCTGAGGAAGATCAGCCATGTGTCCTGAACGGCATTAATAGCAAGCCAGATGAGGTAGAGCATTTTCTTTTAAGTTTAGCTGGGCCATTGAGACACCTTCCTCCATGCCGTCGATCCGAGGTTAAAATCAAATTTCAACAGACTTTACATGAAGCAGAATTTAACAATAAATAAAACAGTATCATGCATAAACAAACACACACACACACAAATCACTTTCAAATAGACAAAACAAATAATACATATGTAACAACCAATAATTTTATTTTAAGGGGCAACTATTGAAATAATTTGCATTCTTAATATTGTTTTTTAATTTATTTAAACAGAGACAATGTGCAAAAAACGTTAATTAAAGACGCTTTGCACCAGATTTAGCTTAAGCTAGTTTCCATCAGTAGTCCCCGAGCAGGTGAATTACAATACAAAATATACAATATAAAATGTAATTAGTAAACTATTCATTCATTCAACCATTCCCCATTACAACCATCAGTAAATCATACCAAGATTACTACAATAAAACGTCACTAAAAGTCATATTTACATACAAATAAATGATTATTCTTCCATTTCTTTTTCTTCTTCTCACCCCATATGACCGCTTGCAGGAAAGTTATGAAATTTGGCTCACTGATAGAGGAGTCTGAACTGTCACTATAGCAAATTTGGAGTCTCTAACAAAATTCCTCTTGCGCCTCCAACTTTCCAAACTTTCACTCATGTTAATGCTAATAACTTTTGAACCATAAGGGCTAGAAAACAAATTAGTTTTTCCAATGATTCCATGACTCAAGTCGATTTGATTGAAATCAATCAATCAATTCCTATGACGTAATTTTCCATCATGAATAATTTATTGGCCATTTTGAATTGTCAGAAAAACCTACTTTTTCTAACTCCTTCTAGGCCGTTGCTCTGATTTTCACGTAAATTGAATCAGATGTTCAGACCATGTCAACAAAAAGTTATGCAATTCATGTCAATTCATCAAACCGCTCTCAAATACCGTGCAAACTAATTTTAAGCTTTGAAAACAAAAGTAAGGCTGTATCTCTGCAACGCTTTATCATATTCAGACCAAAGTTGGTACATGTCATCACAAGCATGCCTTGTGCCACTCGAGTGGCTTAAATACCACTCACTTTCATGTTTTTTTGCACAACCATTGCTGTTTCAACACATTTTTGACATGTTTTTCTGTGTACGTTTTCACGGACTTTGTCCACTGACCATGATTTCGCCATTTCTTTTTTGTACATTTTCTTTTTTCTTTCTTTTTTCTTCAAGCAAGTCAAGCAAGTCGCTTCACAACAGGTGCTACTGCGGTGGCTGTTACTGGCTATTTAATGTTTGATGTCTCGCAAATACAATGACGCTGGTAGTGACGATTCTGTCTGACCATTAGTGATCTTCAGTGTTTTCACGCCACATTTTAGTATTTTCGGAACATTTTGGAACCTCAACAGTGGTGGTACCATTTAAAGCGAATACCGTACCATGCAGTGAAAAAGCGCCACAAGTGAGCCGTACCGAGCCGAACCGTGCCGTACCATGCGGTGGAAAAGTGCCATAACAGATCAAAACATAAAATTGCCATTGACTTCAGTACAGTATTGTGATATAAAATGTCATACTTAACGAATCCATTAGTGTAACATTACGAAACTCATTACGTGCCATCACCACCATGCCCAAAGGTACTCAAAAGATTTTGAGACAGCGCCACCTTTTTGTCAAATGTTAAAATGAAGTTTCCAAAAATGCTAATACATTTTGAATAAATTAGCCTATTGCAATGAAATGGGTCTTGGGTCATGCAGAGAACATACACAACAAGTTTGCCATATTTGATCCTTCACTTCCTGTCCGCCATCTTGATTTTTGTTCAATTCCTGCTTTTTCAAACTCCTACTAGACCGTTTGTCCAATTTTCACCAAAATCGAATCATATCATCTTCAGACCATGTCGACAAAAAGTGGATTTCGTGCTGAAAGATGTTACCGTTTTCCTATATCGCAGCGAAAAAGGCATGATGCCACAATGACTCTTAAATTGTATACATTATTATTCAGCTATTTTGCCTATAATCATCTTTGCTGCAGTTTTACACTCCCATGTGTGCTGGCACGTCTTATCGTCTTCTTGCTCTTGAACTCGATAATTGCTGCTTGCAGCTATATTTTATTAATAATTTTGTATGTGACATTAAAAAATGTATAATTAAAATTTTAATTAAAACCATTCATCTTTCCCAGTCATTTATTTTCCTCTTTTGATTAAGACAACTATTTTATTTTAGTAGTAATGTGTAGCTTGTTAGTGAAAGGAAATATGCTTGTTTTCTAAGGTTGTGTGGCTCTTAAAATAGACTTTTTTGATAAAATTGGTGGTGGTCCTTATGGTGGTGGGAGTAATTATTATTAGCATTGAAATGAATCATTGAATCATTCAAACCTGTGTTAATGACCCTTGTGAAGTCATTGGAAAAGTCTACCCTGAGATACTTGAAACTGGAGACCATTTCCACAGATGCTCCTCCAACGAAGAGGGCCCTCTCCTCCTAATGTCCATGACCATCTCCTTCATCTTCGCCACACAAATGCAGAGGTTTTGTATTTGTGGCAGGGGCAGGTACGGTCAGTTGGCATTTCAGCAAATTTTCCACAGCTTCCGAACAATGATTACCGGTGAGCAGTTCGTACACGACCCTTTTTTTGTAAACACAGAATCCTCCTATGCGAGTAGGCTATTTGTCAGTTAGTCATAATGACAAAATGCATTCCTTCAGGGTGGTAAAGGATTCTGATCACTCAGTCTGGAGTTTTACAGTGAAGTGTTTACCAGCATAATGTGTGCAACATAATGTCATTTCTTAGTATTTGTTTATTGTGCATTATTTTAGAGTTTATCAGAATTATTTTTAATTTCAGATATACAGTTTTTGGATTTCTTTAATGGAAATGTATTGTTATTAGGCTACTGACTCAAAGGCAAAATAAGCAGAAACTATTATCCCTCACTCAGTTAAAATAGAAGAGCCTATCTTTACATACGTAGAATATATTGCTAATTACAACAGCATTAACATTTATGCATTTGTGCTTTCATCCAAAGCAACTTTGCATGCAAGGTACCATTATGCATTCCCAGGGAATCGAACCCAAGACATTAGCGCTTCTATTGCCATACTGTTGGTTGACCAATACAGCAACAATCAATAGGCTAATATTTTGAAATAATGTAACTTATTTTATCTAAATTTATTCACAATTCTATTCGTTACTGTAAAGGTAAGTGATTTATTTTGATATCTAAATTTGTTTTACTCCTTTTGTACACAACAATATTGCATTTGTTCTTGTTCTGCAATTAAAAAGAAATAATATGAAAATTGTACATATTCGTTCAGTTACAGTGGGCACCATTTTTGTTACAAGTTACAACAGTTACCATCATTTTAATTGTGTGTGGTCATCATCATTCAGTGATTAGTAGATTACAGCCTGTTTTCACAGACAAGTCCCAGACTAAAATGCATGTTTGAGCTGTTAGTGCTGACATTTACCATATGTTTTCATCATCAGTAATGTTATTTTTTCTACGGCATGTTTATAAAAGCTACTTAAATGTCCAAATTTAACTAAGGCCCTCGCATGGTTTGTGAAACCAGGCCTGCGATGAAAAGTGCATACTGCATAATATTAAACTCGGCTCTTTTGTGCTGCCTGCTGCTGCACTCTTTACAGACTAGGGCGGATCGTGTCTAGTTTAAAAGAGCGGTTGCACATTTAACATGATTTGATTGGCCATCTTTACTGTCGTGTTACGTCAACACTAAATCCTATTGGCTACGTCAAGTAGCAAGTATTACTACTGGCCAACCAAATGCCTTCGCGCGGAATTTTGAAAAGTTTTCAAACATTCGTAGTTATGCGCCGCCTTATATTCCTCCGCGGATTGACAGGTAAACTAGTCCCTCACTTTTATAATGCATTGCATTGTATGTTATATGAATCTTCGAATAAGGCTCTGATTGATTATTTTCATTCAATATGTGATATTTTGTTTATGTATATATAGTTAATTACTCTTAGCTGTTTTATTGTATTTTATTTTGCGGAGGGATATATTACCGTCAGTAAAGGCAACAACACGCGCTGCTGTCTGTCGATGGATATAGTGTTAATGTTTGTGGTGCTAGTAGTTTGTGTTAACGGCAGGAACGACAAGGACAACTATCCGAATGCTGGATAATCTGATTTTATTTATAAAATCAGGGCCTAACTTCGATGGAATACACTTTGACATTTTGATTTACGGAACTTCAGGTAAAGAGACGTTTCATTTCACGGATACAAAAGAAACTGTTTAAACTGGCACTATGCTAACGACGGATGCGTAACATTATTTCCGTTAACAATCAAAACAAATCGGTAACTTTATTTTCAATGAACATGACCACAAATACTCTGAAACATAATTTTTCTAGTCGGCCACTAAAACTAAGTAAAATGTGAATTTATATTTTACCTGTCCTTTTTTCCAGTTATGTAATGTTTTAAATGTCTTTGGCCATGTGCTGATCTTCATCTTGTGTTTTCAATTGTGTAATCATGTGAACTAACGTAATATGTAGTAACTATAATTACATTAAAATGGAATATCTTTGTATATAGAATTTCTCTTTGGGTTGCATTTATCTTTGCGGATGATATAAATTACGAGTTATGTCCATAAAACTTTATTGTAAAATGCATTTACAGGACGTCGGTGAAAATATAACGTTACTCACTGAGTTAATTATATTTATTTTGTCTTTTGTGTTTGCTATACAAGGTAAGTTGTTTTAAAATGCCTTTGCTGGGGAAGATAGTCGTGATCAAAAGACATGGAGGTGGAGATGGGACTGAATTTCCCCTCACAGCGTCCTGCATGTTTGGAAGGTCAGTAAAACATCTTTTTACAATAATGGCTTAACTTACATGATGGCTGTGAATATTTTCAACTAAATGCTGTCAAGTTTTTAAAGTGAGGCACGTGAAAAAAACAAAATCAATGGCTAAAATTACTACTACACATTATGATTAAAAGGTAAAATCGAAGTACATTGTTTAAAAACTTTAACGTTTGGTTTAAAATATATGATAAATGGGAAGTGCTAAATATTTACAGTTCTTTGTCCCACATGTGCTGTTCTACTACTCTTGATGCTGGGCGGGCTTCATTAATGTCAAATTGACGTAGACGATCTCTCCAGCCAATCAGAATGCGTTATTACTTAACGGCATCAAATACATGTACTCGTGCTCCTTTTGAAACATCATGCATGTAACAGGTTATGCCCTTTGTTTGTTTAGTGTATTTACAGTTATGTTTGGCAAAATATTAACTTATATTAGTTTTGTCTGTTGATGTTAGTGGTTTATGAAAGTGGACAAAAGGGAATGGTGTCACATGAAACAAAGTTGTTAAAATATGCAGGTTTATCTGTATAATAGAAAAAGGAAATTTTAAACAATAAATTGATAATGTACTTGAATGTGTGGTGCATATATGATTTGTCATGCTGTAATTAAAGAAAAAGTTCTCGACATCAATGATCAAAAATAACGTGGCCTGCAAAAACTAAGGCATTTATGCAAGAAGCTATTACTAGAATATTTTAATAACTTGATGAAACAAGAAATAACCAATAAATGGAAGATGGATGCATGCATCTTTGAATATCGACTTACTTAGACCCCATGCAAAACAATGTATTGAAATATTTTAATGATAAATTTGTTTGAAAATGAAATAAAGTGAATTTTTGCCATGAATAGCCACTACATGCATCATAGTTTAATATTTCTCATTCATCAAAAATGAAAATGGGCTGTATTAAAAGCCATTTTAATGTGGACTCTTTACCTATTTAGGAAGCTGGACTGTGATATTCGTATTCAGCTGCCGCAGGTGTCTAAAGAGCACTGTAAAATAGAGCTGAACGAGAACAAAGAGGTAACTATATTTTGATATTACACTATGCCCCTGGTTTCACAGACAAGGTTTAAGCTAGACCCAGAGTAAAATGCATGTTTGAGCTGTTTAAATTAAGCCTAGTTCACACTACACAACTTTAAACGTCGGCAGATTGCTGCGCTGCTGTTCAAGTCGTTGTGGTGTTCACACAATGTGACAGTACGTAAATGATCTGCAACGGGGTTACACGCTGAAAACAACTGTCACCCAACGATTATCCGGTCCCCAAACCACGTTTTGTCATGAAAACACATGCTAGAAGTGGAATGTGAAATGACTCAAAATAGTTGTCTATTCGAAAATGGACGCCGGGACAAAATTGGTGGTGCAAAAAAAAAGTTGTTTACGGAATGATCAGTTTAGAACCCCCTGTTTTTGATGCGTCGTTTAGTACTTCACACAAAGATAAGTGAGCGTGCATCACCTGCAGGTTTACACTCAATTACAGTCCGACCTGTTGCCGAGCTCGTTAAATCGGGCTTAAAATCCTGTAGTGTGAACTAGGCGTTAAAGCAACTTGCACTGGCATATCTTAAAATGTCAATTTCATTGTTTTGTCTCAAGATGCTCACCAGTTTCTATGCCATATATATATAAAAGTTACTTAAATGTTTCATTTATTGTCTCTCTCTTGTTTAGCTCATTTTGACCAATTTAAGCTCTGTGAACCCCACACGTATTAATGGACAGGTTATTAATCAATCTGAGCGGTTAAAGCATGGTGATCTCATCACAATCATTGATCGTTCTTTCAGGTGGGTCTGATTTTTTTTTTTACTATAGTTATGAAGAGGCATTAAGGTTTTTTTCTTGGAGAATCTTTGTTTTGGGAATAATTTTTGTGTGGTTTCATATTGTCATAATGGTAGGTTTGAGTACCCCCCTCCCAAGACACCGAAGAAGAAGAGGCTGTCTACGGCTGGAAAAGACAAAACCGTTCAGGTATGTTGATGTGAGTCTCCAGGGTTTTTCCTGGGTCAACATTGGCCTTTGGTGGTGGCTGACAGACACTATCATCCTTTCTTGCTCTTAAAAAAAAAAGGCTTTGTAAGATAAAATCCTTCTTTACACCTGATCATTATTTTAGTAGAATAAAAAAGTAGCATTGAAATGTTTATTTCAACTAATAGTCTAGTTTTCTACCATATATAATTGAATTAGCAGCTAGCTAACAACAACTTGCTTTTTGAATTATTTTTTTTTCTGGTTTCACCTTACTCCCGTCTAAACTAAACTATTTTTTTGTATATTTTTCTACACATTTTCATAAATAACCTGAAAATACTGTAGATTATTAATGGACAACTCCGGCGCAAAATCGACCTTTGGTCTAATAACACATTGGTACCTAGTCGACCGTTCTCTGAGATTTGTTTTCATGATGATCGAATGTAAAGAGTTTTATCTCTAAAAACTGTTTAGCATATAACGCTATTATATAGGGCACGGAGTAATGAAAAATAAAAATTGCTAGTTAATACCGATAACAAGGCTCAAAATAGCCCCACAGTAACACAATGAGGGTCTCTACATGCAAACCGAAACATTGAGAATGTTCTAAGTGTACAAACAGTTTAATAAGAAGATATTTTATAAAGACAGTCCACTTCACGTATACAGGCAGGAGCCATCTTTGGAAAACAGTCTTAGATACTAACAGTCGAACCACGGACGCTGTGCCAAGTGAGCTGAACTGTATGAATAGCGTTTGTGGTTTGACTTGTCGAACTGTTAGTATCTAAGACCGTTTTCCAAAGATTGCTCCTGCCTGTATACGCGAAGTGGACTGTCTTTATAAAATATCTTCTTATTAAACTGTCTGTACACTTAGAACTTTCTCAATGCTTCGGTTTGCATGTAGGGACCCTCATTATGTCACCGTGTGGGGCTAGTTTGAGCCTTGTTAGTGGTATTAACTAGCGAGACAAGTCAAACCATGTGACTTCATGTGCCGGCGCCTCCGCGTTGTGTTTATCAAATGTCTGGGGTGTGTGGCGATTCTGTCTTCTAACACCACGACACAGGTTTGTGGATCTGAGTATGGCGACTTCGTTTTTATATATCGCGTATCGTTACAGCTAGACATGTGCCGGTATTCGGTAATGCGATAAATCGCGGTGCTGAATATGCACGATATCGCGGGCGCTTCAAAATACCATGAAAAATAATAGATTCAAATTTAGACCTTTAGAATTCGCATTAGCTTATTTTCCATCAACCGCTCAAACACTGCGTATATGCTGTGCAAAACACGTGCGCACTCTGATGTAAACAATCCCCACATGTATAAGCACTGTGTGCATGCGACAGTGAGCACATCTCCAGTTAAAATGCTATTGGTCTTGACTATTTAAATAAAGTGAAAGGAATATGACTTGGCCTGCAAAACAAAATCCGTCAGAAGAATTTTTTTTACTTTAATCCCTGCAGCACGTCACAAAAGGATATTTGGATATTGGAATAATAAATAAAGTAGAACTATCTTAGATGTATTGTACATCTATTTGTTGTTGTTTTTTCTAGGGGTTTCTAAATTTAACACTAGTTAACCAGTGCACATTAAATGCAATATGCTATATTAATCATGAATAAAAAATGGTTTGAGCAGTATTTAAACTGAAAATTGTGTTTCAATTTTGAAATTGCAAGTGAAACTTTGGATTTCGTTCGATTTCAAAAAACTTTAGAAGTCAAAACTAGAATTATGAAGATAGACAAATGTTTGACTTGTATTCTTAAAAAATAATGAAGAAATATAACGACCCTAATTTTTCTTTTTTTTTTAAATTTTTTTTATTTATCATTTATTTCTTGTTAAATTTTGGTTTTTTGATCTTGTAGGTTTTGCAAGACCAGCAGGAAAAAAGCACACCCGTTCATGCAGAGAAGAGGAAGTCGGAGCATTCATTTGGTTAGTGATCATGAAATTTATTTTTTATGATATTCTATAAATTTCTTTGTTTGTTGAAGTTGTTTCTTTCCCCCTAGTTTTGCTAATTCTGTTGAATATAATATAAATTGATATAATTGTCTTGTGTGCTATATTTACAGACACTTGTTTAAAAGATGGGTCAAATTTACTGCCATCTGTGGATCAATCTGTTGAAAATGAACCAGAAGATGGGAAAATTAAAAAGGACAGTATGTCACCTTTTTGTGAGCTCTACCAAATGGTCAAACAAGACCTTGTTGCGAAATCACCATGGAAATCTGAGCAACCAAAAACACCACTTGCAAGACCTCATGTTGATCATGAGGAAGCTCCCGCTGCAGATGTTAAAAGTAACCCTGAACCGGTCACAACTCCATCTACCAAGAAGCGAAGATCCTTGAAATCCAGTTCTGAAGATATTACTGGACCAACTATCCCTCAGAGCTCATTTAATGCAAATCAGGAAGAGAAATCTGCTGATGAAATGCTGTCTGTAGGGTCTGCCACCCCCTCAACATTGACAGAGAAAGGTGTAACTCCTGTCTCCCAGAAGAAGAGAACACCCTTGAAAACGCCTCAGAAGTTCAGTGCTGGTGAGGTTGTCCAGCAAATTCTCTTAGAGCCTCAGCCTGAGGAGAAAACTCCCAAATCCCCAAAAGGAAGGAGAAGTGCTGGATCACAGGATCAGAGCCTTGATCTCCAAATGCCTTTTGACGAGCCTCAGACTCCAGGCTCAATAGGCAAGAACACTGAAGTGAAAATGTCACCAAGAACATCCCCAAGATCAAATGCCGGCAAAAGGTTTCAAGTCCAAGGTACTCCACATGAGATTAAGGCTACAACATCAAGTTCTAAGAATAAAGGTAAGACCGTAAAAACTCTATGGTAGCGATCATAAGAGCAAATCTCCTTTTAAAAATAACTTGGTGGATCAAATAACGATTGTATAGATTACATTTTTATGCCACTAGGTTGTGACAGGTGACTGTTTAAAAAAATGTATGTGCCTTTGAGTCATTCAGTCGAGATTCATCCATCTCGACTGAATGATTCATCCATCCAGTAATTAAAGGAGTAGTTCACTTTTGAGAACTTCTGCTGATAATTTACTCACCCCCTCATCCAATATGTCCATGTCATCCTTCCTTCATTCGAAAAGAAATTAAGGTTTTTGATGAAAACATTCCAGCATTTTTCTCCATAAATGAATGAATCTTTTTCTGATTCATTTAATGAACAAATTGACTCAGAAAAAGATTTGTTTGAACGAGTTTGAACATTAGAGTCAAGAACGTGCATCGCAGTACAGAGCAAGGCGAGCATTCGAGCTTATAAAACTTGAACTTTGTTATATATTTTTTAAATGAGCGATCGTTTCGCTTGATAAGACCCTTATTCATCGTCTGGAATCGTTTAAAGCTCTTTGAACAGTTTGCATTTTGTACTGACAGTGTCTTTTGGACCTTGAACTGTTTGGTTCCCGCTGAAGTGCATTAAATGGATAAAAATACTGGAATGTTTTCATCAAAAACTTTAATTTCTTTTCGACTGAAGAAAGAAAGACATGGACATCTTGGATGACAATGGGGGTGAGTAAATTATCAGCAAGTTTTTTGAAAAGTGAACTACTCCTTTAACAAGTATTTGAGTGAGCCATTGAAAAATTCATTCAAACCCATTTAATAAATAAATTAATTCAAATTAAACATTTTAAATAGACTGTAGCAACTACATTTTGTTAGAACCTCTGGTAAATTACACGTTATTTACAATTGTCTATTCAAAATAGTGAGAGAAACGTGATCTCTGTTTGAAAGAAAAGAATCTTGATTCTCAATTTATCCAGAATCGTGCAGTTTTTCTGGCATGTACACTATTTGTCAATTAGGTAAATGTGGCAAACGTGCTTCATTATTTAAAAATATATCACCGTTACTTTTGTTTGTCCTGCAGATGGTACTTCAATTAATGAGCTGTGCAGCGAAAACAAATCTCAAACCGAAGTAACAGTTCCAAAAGCAAAGAGAAAGCGAGTGTCCTTTGGTGGACAGTTGACCCCTGAGCTATTTGACAAACGCCTGCCCCCGAATTCCCCCCTCCGCCGTGGGGCAACTCCACGATACAGTTTGGGACCTTCCCAGAAACCTCAATCTCTCCTACGACGAGCATCCACCATTGGTCTTTTGGTAATACTTAAAACCTTTTTAAGGACAATAACATTTATTTATTGAAAACGTCCAAAGTTTTTTAATGTTTCTTTATTTTCAGGCTCTTCGACTTGAGGAAACTGCTCCAGATGTTCAAAGTAGTTCTCCGAAGAAAGCTTCACCTAAACGCGCTGCGAAGATTCAGTCACCTGCCAAAAAGTCACCGAGTATCAAGGCTAAAACTCCATCACCAAAACATCAAAAGTCACCATCTGCTCCACCCAAGGTACCTGCAACATCCTCTACTCCTGCCACACCCAAGACACCTGCATCTGCTAGAAGAGCATCAACTTCAGCTGTTGAGGCTGCCAGTGACATGTCTTTAACTGAGACACCCAGGGTCCAGGGGAGGTTTTCAGTCTCTCGTATCAGCACTCCATCGCCTGTCCAGGACCAGGAGGAGAAGTCTGAAGTACAGTCTACCATTGTAGAAGACATGCCTCAGAATTGCGTAACACCAAAGATACCCTTAAGGAGGAAGAGCATGAAGTCTTCTGCAAGAAAAACTCCTAAGAGTACAATTAAAAGTGCACTTGATGTAATTCGTTCAAGACGCAGTGGAGCATCACGGGCTAATCTAAAAGGTGAAAGATTTAATCTGGTTATATTCATGTGTTCCTGTTTTGAGGTATTAATCTTTAATTCCTTTTCATATGGTTTAAATAAATATTTAAATTTTATGTTTGTTTCTCTGTTTTAAGTGTTGACTTCTTGGGCCGACATTGTGAAGTTTGGTCAGATCAAACCTCAAACAGAAGTTACAACTAAGAAAAAACCCGCAAAGAGCAATGTAGTCAAAAGAAATGTGGTGTCAAAACCCAAGGTAAAATAAAAAAAAACCCTCTTGATGGTTTTAGCTCATTGAATGGCTGATTAATCTATGACCTAATTACAAATTACATTTACCTATCCAGACACCTGCACGGAGGTTGAAGGATGATATCAGCACTGGGCATGCAGCATCTCCAGTCACCATTGTTGTTGGCAAAGCTCATGTGAGGACTAACCAGTCTATTGGTGCTGCACCTAAAATAGTCACCAACATAGCACTATTCAAGAAGGACATGAAAATGGATGAGGACTTTACAGGTTTGTTCAGTATTTAAGAAAACAATATATGTAATAAATGTTCTGTGAAATTGTTAGTTCAAATTCTTAATGTTTTGTTAGGTGTTGCAGACATTTTCAAAACGCCAGCCAACAGAAGGTCTAAGAAAATGGTTCCCATAAACGATGAATGTCCTGAGATGCCTTTGGATGAGATTTCAGTCATGAGAACACCAGAAGAATCGGGTTAGTGTTTTGGACTTGTCGCAAGTTAGTTATCTACTGTGTATTTATTGTTTTGAGATCATTGATTTCATGCCCTTGTTTTTCACTCCCCACACAGGTGAAATGATTGTCTCTCCAATAAGTGTTATCTCCACTGCCAAATGTGGACAGTACAACAATGAAGCAGTTACACGACTTCTTTTGGACAACCAGGATGGTAGTTTGTTGGGCGATGAAGGTCTTTCTCAACTCAGTGACAACTCAAATGAGGCAAGTGGCCATGACATCATTCCAGATCAAGAGATGTCCCCCAATGACCAAACAGAGGAAGAGGCTGCCCCTGAAATGGTAGTCAAAACCCCAAAGCAGAAAGCAGCACCATCCTTGTGCCTCACTGGAGTAAAGCGACTCATGAAGACACCCAAGCAAAGGGGTCAACCAATTGAAGACTTAAGAGGAAAGCTGCTCAAGACCCCCAAGGAATCTAAACCTCCCCAGGAAGAAAGTCTGGAAGGCATTAAGGAACTCCTAAAGACTCCCAAATACAGGGGAGTTCCAGTAGAAGACATGGTTGGAGTGAAAAGAGTGATGCAGACCCCAAAAGAAAAGAACAACCCTGTACTGTGTGCAGCTGGTCTTCAGAGGCTTATGAAAACTCCCAAAGAAAAGTCAGAGCAACATGAAGAACTTGAGGGTTTAAAAGATTTGATGAAAACACCTAAATTAAAGGGAGACCTGGAGGAGAATCAGTTCGGACTGAAAAGGTTGGTGAAGACACCTAAACAGAAGAGAAATCAAGTCGAAGAGGACCTATCTCATGTTGAACTGATGAAGACCCCTAAACAAAAAGAACCAGTTGAAGATCAAATGGGTATTCAAAGGCTGATGCAGACTCCCAAAGAGAAGGTTGAACCTGTAGAGAACTTGGCTGATGTAAAGCAGTTAATACAGACCCCTAATCAGAAAGAAGAACCTTTCAGCAATCAGTTGGTAATCGGTAAACTGAGGACCCCTCAACATGGAGTGATGGCAGAGGAAGTTATCACTGGCTTTAAAGAACCTGAAAATAACTCTGGCCTGACAACAGAAAATGGTCTGACTGTGTCTACTGAGGTAAATGGCTAGGTTACTCTTGTTAAACAGGCACATAATGTCTCTGCAGTAAATAATTTAGTTGATTACAATTGAACTTTTTGTCATACTGCTGACTTACAGTGTAAGGAAATGTTATTCGGGTAGATGGTATGGTCATTATTTGTTTCAACTGCAATCTAGTTATAAATTAAATAGCTGATCTTCATATATTTAATGTCTAGATACAAGAGCCTCTTCAAGCAGAGGAAAGTAGTACTGCATTCGTGCCAGCTGAAGGTGAGTTAAAATTGGGAAATGCACATGTTCTCTACATTGTTGTTCTCAGTCCTAAAATTTAGGTTTTGTTTAATCTTATACAGGAGGTACACATTGTTTAACTACTTGGATTAAGCTACATTTTTGTTGTCTTGACTCAGATCTCGATGAGGAATGCGACAAAGAAAATGTCTGTCCAGTTGAAACCATGGAGACTGAAGTGGATTCCCAGTGCACCACTGAAGTCATTGATTCTATTCACAGTGATGTAGAGGCTGATGCTGTTATCCCCCAGGAAACGCATCCTGACAACTTTAAAGAGGAGTCGGTTTCAGTTGAAGCAATTGATGTCTGTTTTTCTGGGACTGATGAAAAAAATGAAGAGCAGTCTGAAGAAACTCTGTGTACCTCTGAAAATAGCGCAACAGTTGAAGCTACTCCAGCATCATCCACTGCTGAGGAAGAGGAAGGGGAGATAATCAAGTCTTCACTTGCCAACAAAATTCAACGTGGCAGTCGAGGCAGAGTGCCACAGAAATCCAAAAACGACAAGGTCAAACCTCCTGCTGTGTTGTCAGTGACTGAAGAGACAAATATAAACAGTCCACTTCCCTCTTGCCCTGCCAGAGGAAGGAGAGGCAAGAAGCTTCTCGAAGTTCCAGAAGTCACCGCCAGCCCAGTCAGAAAATCTGCCCGTGGTAGAATTCCCAAGCACCACTTTGTTGGTGAAGAGGAAAAGAGCACTGAGGCTTCTCAAGTTCCTGTAGACTCCATGAAAACTGAGAGACCAGACTCCCTACCAGTAGTTACCAAAACCAGGAGAGGAAGAAAAGCTAAACAAGATGATGTTGCAATTGAGCCCATTGATGACACAAATGCTGGTGACCTACAATGTCCTGATGCACCTGCAAATGAAGAGCTTGTCCAAGCCCCTGTTGTAAAACCTGGGAGGAGAAAGAAAATAGATAAAACGGAAAGCCATACTTCAGAAGAACTTGAACAGAAAACACCTGAAATTGTTTGCGAGGTAAATGCTGTTGCACCAGTTGGTGTCAAATTGTTGGCTTCACCAGTTACTGAGACTGTCTCTGCAACAAGAGCTAGGAAAGGAAGGCCACCAAAGAAGGAGCAGTTGAAAACTGAGCCAACCCCTACTTTGGAAAATGAAACAACCAGCACTCATGCAGCTGTAGTGGCTGAGAAGCCACTGAAACCTGTAGCAAAGTCAGGGCGAGGAAGGAAGGTTAAAGAAATTGTCAAGGAGCAGCTCTTGGATAATGACGATGCCATGGTTGTTTCTCAAACTGTGGCAGAGGTGAATGCTGAACAAGATAAGCCTGAAGCACCTGTGGTCAAGTCTGGCAGAGGACGAAAGGCCAAACAGCAGAAACCACAGATGGCTGAAGAGGTTGTTGACCAACCAGCTGTAGATACCAGCACACTTTTACCTGTGACCGAGGAACACTCTGAAACAGTGGTGAAATCTGTGAGGGGAAGTAGAAAGACAAAGCAGTCCAAGGTGACAGTTTCAGTTGTGACCGAGGAGAACATTGTCAGCCATGTTGAACAAGCAGAGACCCCTGTTGTGAAATCTGGTCGTAAAAGGGCTGTTATTGCAAAGGAAACAGAAGTGGAGGCAGAAGTTCCTGTCAAAAGAGGTCGCCGTGCTGTTGCAAACCCTGCACCATCAGTTGCTGTGGTGTCCAGCCGTGGACGTAAAGCGGCTGCCAAGGCAGAGTCAGAGGTTACTGAGGATGTAGCTTCATCAGAAGAGCCAGCTAAACCCGTTAAACATACCAGGCGAGCAGCAAAAGTACCTGAATCAAAGAGAAAAGAATATTCCATGACACAGGCAGGTTCTGAATTGGTTGCTGCTGAGAATACAGCAATTGTGGCACTGGAGAAGGTGGGAAGAGGTAGCCGTGGCAGAAAACAGAAGGATTCAACTAAAGACATCCCTAACAACCCAATCAATGAATCTTCTAAAGCCGAGAAAGCTAGTGATATTAAACCCTCAAAAACTGTTAACTGGAACCCAGATTTGGTGGTCTCTAAAGACATTGAAGAGAGCGAACCTTCTGCAGATGTAGAACAACAGCAGCAGAAGAAATCTAAAAGGTTAGGCAAAATACCAGCTGAGACATCCTCCACTTCAAATCAGTCAACTGATCTGCCACCCAGGGGCCGCAGAGGAGCCAAAAAAGAGGAACATCCAGTTGAAGAAGTTCCGATAAAAATCAAGCCATTGAGGGGAGGAAAGGCAGTGGGCTCTGCTGCACCTAAATCAGATCTCAGTGATGGTAAGGCATCAACTCCCCTCAAAAGGAAAAAGAATGATTTGCTGGAGGTAACTGATGAGGCGTCAAATAAGGAACCTTTGCCAAAGAAAAGAGGCAGAGTAGCCACCAGCACTAAAGTTGCAGCTGAGGTCTCCAGCAAAGAGAAAATGCCTGTTGCTGAACCAGAAAAGGCTGAGGTTATTCCCAAGAAAGCTGGTAATAGAGCTGTTAGAGGGCAGAAGAAGACAGCCCAGGAACCAGAGCCAGCACCTGCTCAGGAGTCTCTTTCAGGTATGCATTCTGTAAATGTTGTCTGCAGTGTATTCCAGAATACAAGAGAACTTTACATTGTGCATGTTGTGACTAAAATAGATGTAGCCATATCTTTCAGTGAATTCTATTTATCACATCAGTCTATCCTTAATTGGACGGGACTTGTCTTCATTGAGTATGTTAGAGAAATTTCTTTTTCACAGTTGTACTTTGTGATTTTAATCCTGTCTGTAGCCGGGGTTTCCCGCGATTTTATTCGCGCTGCTAGGCAGTCTGGATACCATGAACCAAAATTTCCCCTGAAATAGGGAACCAATCACAGAACGGGGAGGGAGCACAGACGCATTTGATAAACGTACAGGCTCATTTGATAGATATTCGTAGCACCCAATAATACAGCTCTGGGCATTCGTTAACCACGCCTCAAATACGAGAAATTGAACATGTGGTTTCCAGACAACGTTTCATTCTCAATGATACGTGGTCTGGCGTTTGCCAGGCTACTTGGTCTGGGTTCTCGTAAAACCTTAGTAAAAATTCCAGGGCAAATTTTTACTTTTTTGTTTTGTTTTTTTTGTTCAGTTAACCCAACAGTCCCTTGTGAAATATAATCCTATCCAAATGCCTATGACTTCCAATATTGTATTGTATGGATGTTTTTTGACCCCTCTGAGCTACCGTTTGCGCCCCAATCTTTCGCAGTCTTTGACTTATGAAGTTTATTTAAATAGGCTTTTAATTATAAATGGAAGATAAATCAAGTAATTCTTTTAAATAAAACATACGTCATGCGTGATGCACACAAGCACTAGAAAACACCCACCTCTGTGATAAACATGGAGATGTTGGTACTGTTAAATCTTTACATGAAATCACAGACATCGAGTAATAATGATTTCAACTCAAAAACATATTTTAAAAACTAGTCCCTTCTGAAAAGGGCTTTGTGTCAAAGTTGTAATAACCATTGGACCCACTAGCATCAAATAAGAAATATTTCACAAAAGCTGATGGGCTTGAAAAGTGCAATGGGTATATACTGTTCAGACCTGTTTTATGTACATTCAGTACATGTTATAATTTGTTGTGCTGTATCATTTATTCAACTTCTGAGAGTGAAAAGTTTACTTTTTTATGTTTTCTCACAGGGACCACCACTCGAAGAGGAAGAAATGTTAAAAAAGTAGAGGAAGTGGACATCTCTACTGAGGCAGCTCCCGTCAGGCGTACCAGGAGGAAGTGAAGCACTGGTCTTAATCTTCAAATCTCAGAAAAAAAAGTTTTAGTTTTATATGTTTGTACTATTTCATTATGACATTTTTCTATAAATTTCTCAGTGTAATTTTAGCTATTTTTATTTTTTTAGTGAAGTGTTTGTGTACACTTATCGAAAGTTTTAATTCAAGAAAATGTTTAAAGAATGTTTCCACTGTTGAAACCGTAAACTTCCCTCCAAAGCAGTTATCTTCTATATTCCCTTTTGTGTTCTTTTGTTTTAGAAATGTATTAAAAGAATAAAATAAGCGAGGTGGTAAAAAACTTTGCTTTAGCTGTCACAACCTTCTATGTAATGTGGGTTAGTGGTGTTACATGTTTGATGTGACATGCTTGAAATTTTTCATTAAAAAGATATTTGTAACCTCATGTTTGATTCTTTTCAAATTTATTCTGTTGGACCATTCATCCATTCATGTGTCTAATGCATTACTAATGCAGGTGTGTGAGGGGAAAACACCTGCAGTGCAACAAAAGAAAAATGGTTAATGGCGTATGCTATTAAGTACATTATGTATGTAATGTTGATAACATGGTGCTTTTGATACAATGAATACTATAGTTTAAATAGGCTATTATGTGTGTTTCTGTTTACATAACTTTGTGTTATAATGTTCAAATCTTAGAAGGAAATGTTTGTCACTTCTGAGGTGGCTTAAGAAGTTTTTCCTTCTTTGGACAGAAGAGCAGCATCTCTAGTTTAAATAAACAGAAAAAAAAAATAGTTAAAAAAATTCTGTAAATTCTCTTAATAGTAATATCACAAAAATACTATATATTATCATCATGGACCTGAATGATTGCTATATTCATATAATATATAATTATATAAGTTAGCACCATGGTATTTTTTTAAGTGGTACTCCAAGGTGTTGTAAAGTTATTATGGTAGTAGAGTAAGATATCCCTGCAACCTTTAATTTTTCTCTTGTTATGTTAATAAATGTAATCTCAACGCTCTGTTCTTATAATTGAATTTTCAATTAATTTGAGATTTGTTAAAAAAAGACCACTCAAGCAATCTATTTTATTTATTTTTATTTTTTTATCGTTGGATAGAAGTTACCTGTGCATTTATTTAGAATATTAAACTGTTTTAGGTTTCATTGTTAATGATGGTTTGTGGACAGTAATTCATTTAGATTTGTATAATAACAAAAGGTTTATATTTTAAAGTGTAACGTTAATGACAGAAGGTCCGAAGGTTGGTGTTTTTATGTTTTAATTTACTAATAATTGTAACTCATTGAGTTATCTAATAATTCAAAGGTGTTGAGATATTGTAGTGTAAAAATAATTGTATATTATTAATTACATTTTATTTATTATTTTTATTTTATTTTTTGTTTACAAAACTTCAAGCCTTGATGCACAGCGCAGTTCCGCCACACCAGCAGGAGGCAGTGCTCCGCACAGCAGCTCAAACTGAGGCGTTAACGTCATCAGAGTGATCCGTTGAACAGCGTTCGCGGAAATTTTTGAAAATTCAACCGAAGCATCGACGGAAGAATAAACTGCAGTAATAGCGAAGTGTAAATAAATATATTTTCGTGATATATCTGTTATGCTGATATTCATATCTGGAGTATAGAACGTATTAACCGAGAATTGTCCTCCAGCTGAAGTTTATATCTGAGGTAACGTTATTGGTTTGTCATTCTCATTTATTTCGTTACTAGCATAATATGTTGTTAATTTGTTATTCAGTTAGCACCATTTAATGTAATACAGTTTCGTAAATATATATATATATATATATATATATATATATATATATATATATAATTTCTCAATCAGTTTAACATTGACGGTTTCAATGTTTGCATGTGTGGTTTTAAACTTAAGTTAAGTTACGTTCTTCACGTCAAAGCTAACGTTACCTACACGTCATAAATTGCTAGCAAATACTAACTTACTGTATAGTTTTCCGTGTTTGTAAGATTCAATTACTGAGTGAGTAAATCTGCGTTCTTTGTTTGTACGAATTCGTGCTATTGGACAATACCTATGTTTATTTACATTAACGTTACATGCCTAAGTACAACACCAGCGCATTCATTATTAGCAACGTTACTAGTAGTATTTAAGACAATGGCCGAAAATATTACAAATCCAAACTGTATTATGCTGGACTTGATCACTACTTTTCTTGTACTATGGTAGTAACTGAACCTTTTCTCTGTCCTACATGTGAAGGGTGTGTTTATAAAGGTCAAGATGAGTCGGAGACCCAGCAGCAGATATTCTGAGATGCCCATGCGTGTGACAGACAGCAGGATGAGTCTGATCAATGCTACCCCTCAAAAGTACACTCCATCTATATTTCTTTTTACATTATATTAGTGCAGTTGTATCCGAGTGCACACTGATTGTATTGGTCTAAACCGCTTTCAGCGGTAATGCTTCAATATGTATGATATGTTAACTTGAATTTCATTACAGCAAGGACAATGTCTTTGGCAAGCTGAACATACCTAAACCTCAGTCTACCACATCTGAGAGACGAACAAGCTTTTTTGGAAAGTGAGTCTGGTAGTAACTTGTGATTGTGCATTGATCGTGTCATACAGGCCTGGTTTCACAGACAGGGCTTAGATTAAGCCAGGATTTGACCTTAGTTCAATTAGAGCATTAAAGTTGTTTTTTATAAACATGGTATATAAAAAAAAAAAAACATTACTGGTGCAGATCTTGACGCAAAGCAATAGCACTAACATACTTTAAGATATGAGAGTGCAAGTTGATTTCAGTTAAAACATGCATTTTGGCCTTAGCCTTGTCTGTGAAGATGGGAGAAGTTTTTTTAATAAAAATTTCTCAGGGAGAAAGTTTTTATTAAACCACAATTGGTTAATCATGTACTGTAGTACAACAGTGTCCTCATGTTTCTCCACAGAGGCATCGGGGCAGGTGGCCAGAGGAACAGCATGTTTGGGGCATATGGGGGCCCAGAGAAGATGAAAGACCCCAGACCTCTACATGACAAAGCTTTTGTCCAACAGTGTATCAAACAACTTTGTGAAGTATGATAGGTTTTAATGTCATATTGCGTGTTGTTGATAATTCTGTTATTATTATCTCGCCCCTAAACCAAAAGTCTGTTTACTTTATTTAATTTATTTCTTCATTATGTCTAGTTCCTGGTGGAGCGAGGCTTTCCAGGCAGCATCACAGTGAAGTCTCTGCAGTCTCCATCCACAAAAGAGTTTTTAAAGATATACGAGTTCATCTACACTTGCCTGGAACCGTCCTTTCAGATGCCCACTGCCAAAGTAGAAGAGGAGATCCCAAGAATGCTCAAAGATCTGGGGTAATCACATTATCATAAAAACAAAGGATGACAATATTACTACACCCTGTCAAAAACGTTTTGATCAGTGTTAACCACCCTGTATTTTGCCCTAATCGTTAAGAGATGATTATCGTTTTGTTTCAGATACCCGTTTGCACTCTCAAAAAGTTCCATGTACTCCATTGGCGCTCCTCACACGTGGCCACTGGCTCTCGGAGCTCTCATCTGGCTCATTGACACGGTCAAGGTGACTCTTCTTCAGACCTTTAACATATATATGTGAGATATAATCTGTAAAGTTATGAATTAAGCGAGACTTTCACTGTTGCTCATAGAAAAGCAAACAGTCCAGAAATTAATGTACACTACTTTTTCAAAAAGTCACAGTTTTGTAGAGTTAAGGTTTTGCCAATACCAAGGCTGCATTTCTTTGATCAAAAATACAGCTACATTTGTGAAATTTAAAAAAAGTAAAAGACTATTTTAATATATTTTCAAATGGAATTAAAAGAGTAGTTCACTTTTTTTTTTTTAAATTTTGCTGATAATTTTCTCACCCCCATGTCATCCAAAATGTCCATGTCTTTCTTTCTTCAGTCAAAAATAAATTAAGGTTTTTGATGAAAACATTCCAGGATTTTCTCCATATAATGGACTTTACTGGTAACCAAACGGTCCAAAAGACAGTTTCCAGACGATGAATAAGGGTCTTATCAAGCGAAACGATCGATCATTTAAAAAACAAAGTTTAAGTTTTATAAGCTCAAATGCTCGCCTTGCTCTGTTCTGTGATGCACGTTCGTGACTCTCCTGTTCAAACTCGTTTATCAAAATGAACAAATCTTTTTTTGTGTCATTTGGTTCATTCAACGAACGAAATGAACGAATTGACTGTGAAAAAGATTCGTTCATTTCTTCATAAAATTTTTTTATTTTTTTTTTAAAAACATTGTGCCGTTGAGTTTTAATGACAAAGGACCATTTTCACTTGAAACTGTGAAAATCTAGCTTTCATTACTATCCCAGACTGCAATCTGAACTATAACGTGCACGTTAACATGTAGAAGGAAACATTATTCCAGCTTTGACTGAAATGTAGATGTTCTCCCTACAGCTCTTCAGTGGTCTGAGAGACCAGGGTCTGCTGTTCTCTGACTTTTCAGATGAGCTGTGTGATGTAGAGGAAGGGGCCGAGTACAACAAGGTACCATATCAGACAAAACGTCTGCTTTGACAGTATATTTCACTCTTCTGCATAATTGTAGACATCACATATTCGCCAAATGTATATATGTATGTTATCTCTGTAGCTCTGTATGGAATACTGCTCTGACACCTACAACAAGTTTATGCAGGGAGCAGATACGTTTGAGGATGAGGATGATGACTATCTTAATAAACTAAGTAAGTTGCACCACAGTGTGAAGGGGTAGTGTATATTGAACTTATTTGGATGGGGGGAAATTATATCCAACCTTCTGCACATTTTTTCGGTAAAAATAAAACAAAGTTGGCATGAAATAAATTCACCCTATTTTCTAAATGCATGTTGTAAAAATTTTTCTGTACGTTTCTTTTTGGTTTTGGTTTTTGACCTTGTTTAAGTTTAAGTTAATGTTTAAACAATGTCATAACTGGACCTCTGGTGATGTATGCACAAATTCTCCAATCATTTTCCCAATTAACCCGCTCCTGCAAGCTTTTTTTTTTTTTTTTTGCCACATAGCAATATCCTACGGAGGCGTATTGCATTCACTTGAAGAAACAAAAATCTACTCTGTTTTTCTGAATTAACGAGTTAATTTTTCATGAGAAAAAAAATTGCTCTGTTTTTCAGAATTAAAGAGTTAATTTTTCATGGAATTTTTTTTGCTCTGTTTTTATGAATTAATGAGTTAATTTTTCATGAGAAAAAATAATATTTTGCTCTGTTTTTCAGAATTAATTTGTGTTAATTTTTCATGGATTTTTTTTTGCTCTGTTTTTCTGAATTAACGAGTTAATTTTTCATGGAATTTTTTATTGCTCTGTTTTTCTGAATTAACGAGTTAATTCAGAAAAAACAGCAAACACTTTT